GTGGCACAGTCAAGACAAGAGAACGACCAGGCTGGGTTGATTAAACCAACAATGAAGGCAATACCAGCTGACGACCAACCAGTGTTGTTCTCAAATTCCTTGAACACGAAACTTGGTGGTTGGAAATGACCACTAGAGCACGCCAGCACAGTTATCGTGATAGTAACAAACGAGAAAAGAGAGGTGTACAGAGCAGCAGAGGAGATATATGGAAGTGGTTCATTCCAGATGTTGAAAAACACAAGGAACAAGTTGGTGAGTTCGAAAGCAACAAACACCTCCCATGTCTTTGGCAATGAGTCTCTACCAGTGGACAAGTTGTACATACCACAGATTGCTGATGCAATGGAGATCGTAACAGAGGCCGTGGTGAAAATGGATCCAAACCATGCCATCGAACCACACATGTAAGCCCAGAATCTTCTGTACTTCTTAGGCGCCAGCTTAAAAGTCCAGTAGTATTGACCACCAGAGTTCTCGGGGAACGCGCTCACTAACTCAGATAGAGATGTTCCGATACATATGGAGATGGCTGCCACGATCATGATACCATATACAATAAGCATCGGGCCACCAGAAGAGATACCTGTCACCAAGGATGCAGAGATACCAAACCACGAGTTTGTCAGACCGAAACCAACACCCAGCAAAGACCAGATGTTGAAGTTCTTTCTGAGCTCATGGTGGTAACCTTCCTTGTCAACCTCACCGAGCGTTGTGTTCTCGACATCACCTCTTTCAAACGAATTCGTCTCCGACTGTACAGAGCTGATTTGATAAGGCTGTTTCTTATCTATTGAGAGTCTTGTGGTTGATGAAGACATTACTTGTTCTTGAGAATCTCGACCCACGCTGATTTGTCGAACGTTGTGGAGGTGATCTGTAGGCGATTTTATATGCGTCGACCACACCTCCGAATTATATTGTTCAACAACCTTGCCAGATTGGGGCGCTGATAAGAGCCGCGTATCATCTTTTTCAACGTTGATCTGTGTAATTCAAGGCCTGGAGAGTTTCTCTATACTTCGTTATCGTCGTGGCCCGTCGTGATAAACGGTTGCTGCTGCTGCTGCCGCTGCAACTTTTGTATTTCGGTTTGCAGCGCATGAGGCTCAGCTGGAACCTTTACCCAGGGCGTCTTGGTGAGAAAGTCTGCTTTGGGTAAAAATTCGATATCGACGCTCTCTGTCTCTCTCGCTCTCCACAATGTCGCGGGAACTTGGACGAATCTTGTGAGACGCGTTATTGGGCCGAAAGTGTCAGAGTTTAACGTATGTATGTCGTTATTACTATGTTGACAGTCTTGGACGTGTTGTAGTAGCCATTGATTAATAATTAGGACCCTCTCTACGGTTAAGTTCCGGAAGAATTGGTACGATTAGGTGAAGCACAAGGAGGAATTGATCCGGCCGGCAAACTCCAGCTGCTGGCCACTTTTCTTGTGAGGTTTTGGTTGCAGGCCCCGTCGCTCTAGCGGAAGTCATGTGCGCTTGTCGTTATCTTGAACAGCCGGTTTTGGTGTTAAACGCTTTGAACTTCTCAATGTTGATGTAGATGGTTAAGAACAAGTAAAAGCTTGACGTGGAAATAACGACAATATTTCCAAGTCTGTTCCCTGTCCATATCCAGCTCTGTTGAATAGCATTAAACAGTTGGTAAATTTGTAATCCCCAAGGGAAATTATAAGCCTCTTCTTCCAGGAACGGCTACGCCAACCAAAGGCCCGATTAGAGAGGTATGTAGTCACATCCATACAATACACTCTTCTTTTCGGGAGACTCATATCTGGAGATATTTTGACAACCCTGTATTTTCCGGACTGAGGCTCCAAAAGGAGGCGTAAGATATGGTCCTGCGGAGTTTGTGTGGTATAGGATTCGGTCACCAGTGTGAATTTGATTAGCCAAAGCAACTTGACCTCCACTTTAGAGATAGCTTGTCACACATCTTCATGTGCAGCCCATGCTCCGACCGTGATCGAATAGATTATTGTAGTCCCTGGTATCTATTGTCATCTACATGCTGAATATGGAGGGTCCAACCGCAATGAGCACATGACAAACACGTGCAGTCTGCGCAGCGTTATCTACACTATCACGGTTTAAATCTTAAAACATGTCTTGGTTGTTTTTGAACCAGTACGCTACATATGATTTGACTAGACCAGTATGATCAAAACGTGCATTTGTAATAGCACATCTCTGATTTGGTCTACTCTCCAAACTCCACATGAATTATGTGATATGAGGTAAAGCAAGATAAACTCTCCACGGGTTGTCCCCGAGCCCATAGCCTTGTTTACGCCGTGCCCACTCCACGAAGTGATAGGACCTATAAAAGCTTTCGAAATTCCCCCTCGACTCTCTGTTTCAAAGTCCATAGCCATGCGTTGCACCCAATCCGGCTAAAGTTTGACCAATTCCCTCACCGTCCTTGTAAACATATCTATCAGGGCATGCATGACGTCTGCATGTGCTTCACTGGTGCTAATGATGTATTGTAAAATCCCCCTGGTATATGTGATCTACGGTGTAAAATAACTGCTAGTAAACAAGTACCTCAGTACTGTTACTAAATTCCAATTTTAATGCTCAGCCATTTGCTGGGCGTCAGATAAGGAAAATAATCAATCAATTAAACGCAAGTTGATTATCTGGGATGTGTGTAATTTGTGATTCTGGGTATAGTTAGATCTGTTACTTCTTTATCTCAACACACCTAACGTAGCCGATTAGCTTGATAATGGTAATCAAGATCATCTATCCGAGAACCTTCCGCTTAGCAATCAATGATGAACATGCTCTCCCTGTGATTAATTTCGCTTGTGACGGTGTCGCCAAAACATGACCATAGACAGAATCTCAGCTCTTTCAGTTCAGAGCTTTTGGCGTTGCAATGGTAGAAATACTACATGTGTAAATTCACTCTAGGCTTGAAATTCTACTTGCCACGTTTATTGCGGTGGAATTATCCATTCCAATATATCGCATTGTAATTTGAACCTTTAACTAAGACTACTGGTAGCCTTCTGTTTGAACTGGAGGTCTTGTAGATGACATCTTACGCCAACTAGTTTCACGCCATTCGATCACAAACATTTTGCCTGGCTCGATTACGTCTCAGTGATTAAATTAGTTGAGAGTTAACGTTCCTGTCACACGTGCTTCTCTTCCTATAGTGATACCCTGTGTTGAAAGTACACAGCACTGCATTGTATGAAATCTCTTGCCATTATTGAAGACGAGCATATCAAAGTACTTTAGTACATTTTTGGAAAATTCAGCAACAGGGCTACACCAGTTGAAGTGTTACGCAACTGAATCAAGTATTGACAGTATACAGCTATAACAGTTCGAATCTTTGGGTGATCCTCAGCAAACGTGTATATGAGCGCATAGAGAATCATGGCAACAAGTACAACAGCTGCATAATTCATAGAGTTCTTATCAACTGGCATTGTAAAAGGAAAACAGAAAGAGACCCAGGCAAAAATGGTCCAACAGATTGTTACAATGTTGGAGAAAAGACCAAACTTACCCATCCAGAAAGGATCGTGCTTGATGTTGTCTCTTCCCTTGTACAAGAGACAAACGATTGGAATGGAATATGACAACAGTAAAAATGTGATACAGCCAGTAACCATGGCATTGTACGCCGTTGTGAACCCCATGTAAATACAACCAACAATAGCACACCAGAAGCAAGACACAGGGCACCATGTTTGTTACCTAACGCTTGATAGAAGATATCCAAGATTGGAACTCTTGTGGTGGAACTTAGAATAGCATCCAAGTTTCTAATGCAGAAGAACATGGAAATCGCATAACAGAACGGTGTGGCAAATCTAATAGCAACTGTCGACAAGATGGAAACAGGAATCCAACGTTCTGGCTCGACGATCTCTTCTGCCGTGTGGGTGGCACAGTCGAGACAAGAGAACGACCAGGCTGGGTTGATTAAACCAACAATGAAGGCAATACCAGCTGACGACCAGCCAGTGTTGTTCTCAAAGTCCTTGAACACGAAACTGGCTGGCTGGTAATGACCACTAGAGCATGCCAGCATAGTTATTGTGATAGTAACAAACGAGAGGTATACAGCGCAGCAGAGAAGATATATGGAAGTGGTACGTTCCAGATGTTGAAGTTCTGTCTGAGCTAATGGTGGTAACCTTCCTTGTCGACCTCATCGAGCGTTGTGTTTCCGATATCACCTCTTTCAAACGAATTCGTCTCCGACTGTACAGAGTTGGTAGGATAGCACTGCTTCTTGTCTGTTGATTTAATTGTATTTGATGATGACATTATTGCTCTAAAAGAGTCAACATTTGGTCTTTTTCTTCTGGTGCTGTTGAAGTGATATCGGATACCTTTTAGACTTCGACAAGTGAAAAGTCCATTCGTTGATGAAAGCCGTGTTGATCGCTGGTGCTAGCGGTTGTTAGAAGGCTTCATCTTAATTATCCGCGGTTGCACTGCTGTATGATAGAGCCTTGTGCATATGTGCGTACACCAATTATGAGTAACTGATGTCTAATTGGACGTCAGTTTAGAGTATTCAATCCCTCCTCCCACTGTTACGGGATGGGAGTAAGTCTCCTTTAGGTAAAAATTTGATTTCATCAAAGTAAATGGGGTCAGACTATGTCCTTTGAAATATATGTTTATAATTCTCATGTTTAAGTGACATGATTATCTTCCCGTGCAATATGCACCGAGGATGATCATCAGAATATCTGGGAAAGCATACAGAGCCTTGGTGAGCTCATCACAAAATCTTGGTACAACTGGGATCCGACCCATTTGATTGGAAAGGTAAGCTATTCATCTTCTTGGGGCCTATAACTTTGAGACTCTCGAGAAAGATTTTCAACGACAAGCACTGAAAATGTATACCTGCTCATCTCTAAGAACGTTTCAACTGGAGAAGCAAGGAGTCTTCTAAAAGAGCTCATACGTGACAAATTTGTGGGTATCTGGACATCACACAAGAGGATGGAACATAGTTTCACTTCAATTCTTTGATTCCAATGTATAGAGCAAAAGAAGCAACAGCGCATATCTCTTACACAAGCGTATCAACCAGGTACGTAGACGGATGCAATCATAGAAGATCCAGCTTGTCCAACAGGTTCTGTGTCTTCTGCGTCTCTTCCTTCCCGTTGTTGATCATCTCTTTGTCCTTCTTGATATCCTCCTGCATCTTGTTCGTCTGTAGCATTGTACTCTTGCTTTCTTGCTTTCTGCCCTTCTGCCCTTTACCAGCTATAGCGGCAGCGTTAATTATGTCCGCCAAATCAAGCGAATTCGATGCGATGACTTTAGAAGCCGTGGTTCTGGATGAGCTTTTCGATACTTTGAAAGACTTTTTCGTCTTACTGTTGTTGTTCTTCTTAGCTGAGATCTTCTGCTTCTGTGCCATTATCGTACACTTCTTTGTATTCAAAGACAAATAGGCCAAAAGATAGACCGTATAGATTCAAAAGTATTGCGCGATGAGCTCTCTCTCTCTCGAAAGCCGAGTGAAAATTTTACCGACTTGATTACGTCATCATGAACTCGATTCACCGAACAGCCAACCACAAAAAAAGCACACGCAATCCAAGAAGAAGAACAACAACAAATGTAAACATCATCAACACTTTGGGAAAACAGGAGCGCTACATCACGGCGCTTACGTCCTATCCTTGTTTTATTGCTTTGTTCCTTCTTGCTTGCTCTAATAGACGCTGATAGCCTGGCATTTATCATCACAGCAGGACGCAATGCCTTCATATGACCATCCCAGTGCGGCAGGTATAGGCTCAACAACACACACACCAGGAGCGTTTGCCAAAGGGTTAGCGGGCTCGTCTTCGCTCAGGAACTACAGGGTAACCGAACAGATTGTGAATTTGGATGTGGATTTGGAAAATAGAAGCATTGTTGGATCAACGACGATCATTGTAACTCCCACAGAGCCGGTGTTGAAGTTTGTCAAATTGGACTGCCGTCAATTGACCATTGAGTCTGTGTTGGTCAACGGGAAAAGAGCCCAGTACTTGTATGAGGACCCCTTGAGAGAGGAATATGATGCTCTACTAGGGGAGAGGAAGTCGGTGTTCAACGATGTTCATCAATACCATTTCTATAAGGGTCAACATGAAAAGATGTTCAGAGGTGAACATACAGAGGAGTTGACGATAATAATGCCTGATAACTTGAAGTTATATCCACAAGACCCGTCCACGATATCGGGAATGACTCCACATGGAGGCCAAACGCACACTCCTGGCAGTCATAAGGCTACAAATCTTGAAATGTTTTATACGAATGTGAAGATCAGAATCGAATATTCTTTGAAGAACCCAACCACAGGTCTGCACTTTGTCGGTGGAAAAGGATCCTCCTTGTCTAAAAACGAATGGTACGCTTACACTTCAAACACATCTTATGGTGTTTCGACGTCTTCCTGGGTACCATGTGTTGATAGCCTTGTGGATAAGTGTTCATGGACACTTGACATTGGGGTACCGAAAACAGTTAAGCAAATTGGTGTTTCGAAGCTCATTGGTGCTCTCGATTCTAACACTTTAAACGCCACTGAAGATGATGAGGATGAGGATGAAAGCACTGAGATTTCGGTTGTGTTTGGAGATTTTGCAGGGCAAAAGGAAAATGCGCATCCTGTGGACTTGGCTAAGAAATCTGTCTCTATCGATTTGTACAATGCCACTTCTGCTCACCATATCGGCTTTGTGGTGGGTCCCTTTGTCCAAGTTCCACTAATAAACTTCCAAGATGATGATGCAGCAAGGGAAAAGGACACATCATCTGTTCCTATTGCTGTATACTGCTTCCCCCATCAGACCTCTGACGCATTAAACACAACAATCTTCATGCATAAGGCCTTGGACTTTTTCTCAAAGGAGTTTGGTTCTTATCCAAATGCAAGTTGTGCTCTTGTATTTATCAACGATCTTGACATTGACTACAATGGCTTCTGTGGGTTCACACTGTTGAATGATAGACTATTGTACTCGATCAATGAAATTGACCCTCTCTTTGACAGTACATACAAGTTGTTGGTCTCTTTAGCAGAACAATGGTCCGGAATATACGTCGTGCCAAGCACTTACAATGATATTTGGATCACTGTTGGAATTGCTCATTACATGGCTCTTCAGTTTATTAAGGATCTTATGGGTTTGAACGAGTATAAATACAGGATCAAGAGACAAGCTGAACGTATCTGTGAAGAGGACGTTGGGAAAGATCCTCTCTCAAAGCCAAATTTCGCATTCCCAGTTGCCCATAAGGATCTCGACTTTATCAAACTCAAAGCTCCAATTGTTCTCTTCATTTTGGATAAGAGAATGACTAAACAATCATTTGGTCTTTCAAGGGTATTTCCAAAAATTTTCCTGCAATGCATGTCTGGAGACTTACCTAACGGTAGTTTGAGTACTCATCACTTCCAGCACGTGTGTGAAAAGGTGAACCACAACAGACTAGAGACGTTTTTTAGACAGTGGGTTCATGGCTCCGGTGTACCTGTCTTCATGGTTAGTCAAAGGTTTAACAAGAAAAGAATGTTCATTGAAATGGGTATCAGACAAGTCCAGGGCCAGGATCCGCTTGAAAAGCAACCAACAAAAGATAACTTTATCCCAAATGCTGTTCACAAGATTAACGTTGAATCTGAATCAGGTACAAAAATCAAGAGTCATCAGTTGTTCACGGGCCCAATGACTATTCGTATTCATGAAGCCGATGGAACGCCATACGAACACATCGTTGATCTGAAAGAAGGCTTCACCAAGCTTGACATTCAATACAATACAAAATATAAAAGGCTGAAAAGAAGTCAGAAGCAAATCAAATCGGAAAAAGAGGCTAAGGAAGCCGCTGAAGAAGACGACCAAATCCTTCTTCACTGTTTAGGGGATATTTTACAAACGCCAAATGACATCAGTGACTGGAAGTTAACCGACTGGAGTAAAGAGGAAGAAATGAAGATGACGAATGAAGCATTTGAGTGGATCAGAATTGACGCTGACTTTGAATGGATCTGTAAGATTCACTTGACCCAGCCTGATTATATGTACGCATCACAATTACAACAGGATAGAGATGTGGAGGCACAATTGGAATCGATCCACTATTTTGAAAACTCTCAGCCATCGGCTCTTTATTCTTCTATCTTGTTGAGGACGTTGATGGATGACAGATACTACTATGGAATCAGAGTTTCAGCAGCCTTGGCGATGGCAAAGCTAGCCAAGAAGGAGACCAATTGGATCTCCAAAGAACACCTTCTTCTTGCTTTCAAAAGGTTGTTCTGTTTCCAAAACTCCGAGATGCCTATGCCGAATGATTTCTCTGACTTCCCTACGTATTTCATAAATAATGCTATACCGCTGGCATTATCCCTTATTAGGGATGAGAATCAAAGGTGTCCTTTGGATGTGAAACGTTTTTTGTTGTCGATCTTGAAGTACAATCAAAATCTTGGAAATAACTACAGCGATACACATTACGTGGGTCATTTACTTGAGTGTCTCACATCTGCTATCATCGCAAATACGCCGTCCTTGAACGAATTAAACGATGATGAAAAGCGTTTCCTCGACCACGCAATGGGAGAGATTTCAAGACAGCAAAAAATGGATGAATGGACAGAAAAGAGCTCGGTGAGTGTTGTTGCGCTTACACAGAAGTTGCGCCTTCGTGCCAGTGGTCTTTTGGAGATCACGCCGGAATATATGATTGAACGTACCTGTAACACGAACTCGCCTGATATCAGAATAGCTGCTTTTGAAGGTCTATTCCAAATGGGTGCACTGAAGAACTCCGGTATTATGAAGTACTTCTTCATGACATTGTTATTTGAGAGAAGTGGTTATTTGAAAAATGGGCTTGCGCTTGCGCTCTCCAGAGGATTGGCCGCTTCTGTTATAGAAGGTTGTTCAGCAGAACTCGATGAAGATGAACTCAGCCGTCCTATTGACGTTACTGAAGACAGTTCTTCCAATAATGGAATAATCATCGAGGAAGGAAACAGCCATGCTTTTGAGTCTAGAAGAGATGCAGCATCTCGAACGAGTTTGAAGGGTGCCATTGACCTACTCAGACGACAATATAGCGAATACATTCCCCTTCAAAGAGAGATGTGGAACGCAGTCAGAAACCCGCTATTGAGCATAGGGCTGAAAAGAGATTTATTCGATATCATAGCTGTGGTGATCCCTTCATTGGATACTCTAGCTGTGACACTTCCTATGCCTAGAGAGAAAAGACTTGTCGCTGAGAACCAAGGCCGTGGTGTTGTTCTTTTCAAGAGAGAAGGTTATTTCAAGATCTCACTCCCTATCATTGCGAAGCCGTCAACTGCAAAGCCCCCTACTCAAAAGGCACCTGTGATCCAACGCAGAAAGTCAATTTCGAAGCCAATTCTGAAGAACAAGTCAACCACTGTGAGGGCCAAGATTAGACGCCACGGTCCAGCTAAGCTGAGATATGTGAAGATCATCTATCGTAAGGGGCAGTCACATATTCTTGTATCCTCTTCTCCAATCAAATCGAAGAAAGTATCGCTGAAAATACAGAGTGATAAATTGAAGGCTATTTCAGAAGGCTCTCTACGTCTTGATCTAACAGTTCCACCAAAATCCAAGTCGCAACCTGTGGAAACATCAACTATTCCATCAATTAATCCAGTTATCACATCTCCGGCAAAGTTAAAACCAAAACTCAAACTCAAATTCAAATTTTAATGTGATTGTACTATCTAATGACGATTCTTTTAATGATATATTTGCAAATCTGTAGACGCATTAATAGCCAGTATATGAATCAACGAATTTTTGGACAGAATAGGAAAAGGGCGAACACTAGTAGCGAAATTTTGCGAAAACAAAATTTGGGCAAAAAAAAATGGTGTTTGAAAGGCGAGCGCCAAAGAAAAATCAAAACATCAACACAAACCCGAAAAGCCAAACAAAAACAAGAAAGAAGGCTTAAGAAAGTACTACGATAAAACTACCTGAGGCGCTTAGCTTTGAATTGACATTTTGCATATACTCAGTGGCTGGTTTGACAACTGATTTAGGTTGTTGGGATGTCCTCAGACTCTAAGAATAGGCGCCACAGTGGAAGACTGCGTAAAGTTGAAGTTTCTGACACTGTGAGTATCGCCAACACTGAGAATCCCAACAAGAGACGGAAATCCATCCGCTCAGCGGCTTCACGGCAACATCAACTTGACAATGGTGTCTCTCAGAGTGTTGTTGAGATTGATGGTGTGAAGTACATAGAAGATCAAGAGGCGCTTCAGAGGTATCGTCAGGAAGGTGGAGATGTTGGCGGTCTTGATCTGTTGGGTAAACTCAGCGCAGCGCATCATCTGTTGTCCTCAGAACTGGCACACCTTCAGCGATTCACGTCGCTGGTTACATGGGAACCTGATTTCTCCAATTCCAAGCTGCATAATGATTACCTAGAGGATAAATACGATTTATGGAATGACGATGAACAGGCGACTGGCGGGAGCTCACGAAAGTCCAGACGTAGTAAAAGAGTTGTTGTTAACCCTCTGATTTCAGACGTTGAAAAAGCTGAGGCAAAATTCGTTGAGGAAGTGTTCCATCCATCGCAGTACTACAGAGATCATTTCTTGAGGGAGAAAAATGTGAAAAAACCAATACAGGGCAACGAGCCAGCGTCTATTTCGCCAAAGAGACATAAAGACACTGTAATAGCAGAGAAGCAGAAAGTGAGGAAGGGTTCTGTTCAGTCGAAACAGGCAAGGGTTAAATCTAAAGCAGGGCATAAAGGATCACGTTCTAAGGAACTCTCTGGAGACGAACTGGAACAAGTTATCGAGGGAACGGAGGATAGTGATGACGATGATGACGAAGAAGAGGAGGATAATGAGGATTCACTGGATGAGGATTCCCTACCGTTGTTTATCGAGAACGGACCTGTTCCTAAACTTCACCTCTTGTTAAATCCCCCACAAGCAACAATAACTGCTCCGGAACACGTCGCTAAATCTGAATTTGGATCACTTGAAGGATATCTGAGCTCCTTCAGGTCTCTTGATGAAGACATCACTCCGGAGCAATACGAATCACATATCCAGGCACAACGTGAGTTTGTTGAAAATTTCAAACGTGCTGTACAGAATAATGTTCTTGCTGTTGATTCAGAGTTTAATGTGACTAAGGTTCCCTTACCACGTCCTTTCAAAGACCCTTTAAGAAACCAACATACACATCATGACCATTTGGTAGGTCAAGCTGTTTACCTTTCGAAGTTGATTGGTGACAGTAAGAGGGCAAGGATTCAAAGAGCCAGAAAGGTTTCACAGATGGTGGAAAGTCATTTCAAGAGACTTGTCGGTGCTGAAGAACGCGCGCGCAAAGAAGAAGAGAGACGTCTCAAGGCTTTGGCACGAAATGCAATACATGCTGTCAAAAAGAGATGGACTATGGCTGAAAAGGCATATAGAATTCTGAAGAAACAGGAAATTGAGGAGTTAAAACGTATTAAAGGCAAAGAGCATCTAAGTCAAATGCTTGAGCACTCAACACAACTACTTGAGGCACAAATGTCGAAGCAAAGCGATGATGAGGATGTCAGTGAAATCAGTCATCAAAGTGATTCTGTGGATCTCTCAGATTTTGTTGATGACAAGTTACAGGATGTGGATGACTCCAAACTAACTGTTGAGCAGTTGAAAGCAAAGTACGGTCATCTACAAGGTCTGGATTTTGAGGAAGTCAGTGAAGCTACAGAACGTGAAACAACCGTTCCAGAAGAGACCGATAGAGACGAACCTGTCCTAGAGGAGACCGATAGAGACGAAACACCTGTTGAATTGACTGAACAAGAGAAAACTGTATTAGAGAATGAAAATGCCGCTGAACATGATTCACTCTTGGACAGTGATACATCCTTAAGCTCTGATGAGGACTTGGATAGCGAAATGGAAGATTCTGAAGAAGAAGAACCAGGAGAAGAGGATGCTTCTGAACATGGTGGCTTGGCTTCTCTGTTTGGTAATGTTGCAGCAGACGACGAGGACAACGAATACTCTGAGAGAAGCGAAAACGAATCAACCGACGAAGCAGAAAGTGAATCAATAAAAACAACCCCAGAAGATCAAGCGAAGGACATATTAACACCAAGTTCCACGCCAGATGCAGAGAAAAGCATCACTAAAACGTCCAGGGCCTCAACTGAGACAGCAGATGGCGGTGTTGTGGATGTTCCGGTTCCTGACTTACTCCTCAGAGGAAACTTGAGATCGTACCAAAAGCAGGGTCTTAATTGGCTTGCAAGTTTGTACAACAATCACACGAATGGTATTCTAGCAGATGAAATGGGTCTTGGTAAAACTATTCAAACAATTAGTTTGATATGTTACCTGGCGGTTTTCAAGGGAATTTGGGGGCCTCATCTGATCGTGGTTCCTACATCTGTGCTTTTGAACTGGGAAATGGAATTCAAGAGGTTTGCGCCTGGGTTCAAATTAATGGTATACTATGGGTCTCCTCAGCAGAGAAAGGAAAAAAGAAAAGGTTGGAATAAGCCTGATACTTTTCACGTCTGTATAACATCTTATCAGCTTGTTTGTCAAGATCAACAAATTTTCAAGAGAAAAAAATGGAGATATATGATCTTGGATGAAGCACATAATATCAAGAACTTCAAATCCAATCGTTGGAATGCTTTGTTGAACTTTAACACAGAGAACAGATTGTTGTTGACAGGAACTCCACTGCAAAACAATATTATGGAGTTGTGGTCCCTACTGTACTTTCTTATGCCTTCTTCCAAAGCTACACAAAGTATGCCATCTGGTTTTGCAAATTTGGAGGACTTTCAACAGTGGTTTGGAAAGCCTGTTGATAAAATCATTGAGGGAGGTAATTCGGAAATTGATCTTGAATCCAAGAAGACAGTTTCCAAATTGCATCAAGTTTTAAGACCGTACCTCTTACGTCGTCTCAAAGCAGATGTTGAATCACAGATGCCCGCAAAACATGAGCATGTTGTTGTTTGTCGTTTATCAAAACGACAGTACAAATTGTATCACGAATATCTGGCGAGAAGTGACACCAAGGATATGTTAAGGAATGCAAACTACATATCAATTATCAACTGTTTGATGCAATTGAGAAAAGTGTGCAATCATCCAGATTTATTTGAAGAGAGGCCAATTCTGACATCTTTTGCTGTACCTCATTCGGTCATCACTTCATATGATACCACAGAGTATACAATAATGAGGCTTTTGAGTTCTAAAAGAATGGACACAGATGTTGACTTCGATGTTTTGAATCTGAACTTCACTCAGTTTGAGAAAGACGGGCTGTATACGTCTCATTGTTCTACTATAAACAAGCTACAATCATCAACTGAATTTCACAAACAAATCGAAGTTTTAGCCTCTGAGACTTCCAAAGAGCATGTGCCAAACTATTCTGATATAAAAGAGTTCTATGACTACACTACGTTTAGTGAAAAGAAGAATTTAAAAAGCCATTTAGAGCAAACCCTATATCTGAATCAGCTAAGATGTGGGAAAATGCCAGTATATGGTGCCAATGTTTTAAAACTTCTCAGTGTCGTTGAACCTTTTGATTTGCAACCATCGTATGGTAATGAAATGATGAAACCTCTGAAGACAAGGATCTTGGACATGAAAGATACAGTGGATCGATTTGCGTTTGTTACACCTGCAGTTGTAACTTTGAACATGAAAAAACTCAGTGTTTCAAGAGAGCTCGAGAATGAACTGACTTCGAATGTGACGCAGATAGAGAACCCTTTTCATGAGATACAAACGAAGTTATCTATTCAATTTCCTGATAAGAGTTTATTGTTGTACGATTGTGGAAAATTGCAGAAGCTTTCCAAGCTTTTGCAGCAACTAAAAGACGGAGGTCATCGTGCATTGATCTTTACTCAAATGACGAAAGTGTTGGATATTTTGGAACAATTCTTGAACATCATGGGTGTGAGGTACATGAGACTTGATGGTGCAACGAAGATCGAGGATCGTCAAATTCTCACTGAGAGATTCAACTCTGATCCAAAGATCACGGTATTTATTTTATCAACTAGATCAGGAGGTTTAGGTATTAATCTTACTGGTGCAGATACCGTGATCTTCTATGATTCTGATTGGAATCCTGCAATGGATAAGCAGTGCCAAGATCGTTGTCACCGTATCGGACAAACCAGAGACGTTCACATCTACAGATTTGTATCTGAGTATACCATTGAATCTAACATTTTGAAAAAGGCTAATCAAAAGAGACACTTGGATAACGTTGTTATTCAAGAAGGTGAATTTACAACTGATTATTTCAGTAAGCTTTCTGTGAAAGATTTACTCGGCGATCAAGGAAATGATGATCTGGATGACTCTAAACCATTATTCGATGATTCAACAAGGCTTAACAGTGCACTGGCACAGGCTGAGGATGAGACCGATGCCAAGGCTGCTAAGGAAGCCATGAAAGAGGTCAACTTGGACGACGTTGACTTCGACGAAAATGAAGCAGGTGAAAATAATAAAGAACAGCACGAGTCGTTTGGTCAGGATGATGAAGGGTTTGGTCACATTGATGAATATATGATCAGATATATTGCTAATGGTTACTATTATGATTAGTGGATATCTGTTTTATAATCGACACGACACGTTGTATTACATGTAACAAGGGACTTGATGACTACGGTTTTCATTGGCTTGTAGCCCAATCATCAAAAACAAACTGCAACCACAACCGAGTTTCAAGATTAATGGGCATCATAAATGCATACTATACTGAGCGCTTTAGGTTACAGAATATATCTGTGTGTATAGAAGAATAACAAGAGACTTATAAAGCACCTCCATTGGATACTAACTATTTCCAGCAGCTGATATTCGATGAACACAAGTTAGTGTTTGCTATTTACAGTTGACAGATTTCACAAAAACAAAAAAGGTCGTACCCGGATTCGAACCGGGGTTGTTCGGATCAAAACCGAAAGTGATAACCACTACACTATACAACCGACTTCAAGAACAGGAACACTATCTGTTTACCATCCTTAGTAGTATTGTTTTGTTGAGTAAGCTTTACATACAACATTAATTCGAACAATGACGTGAGACCAATTGGTACAAACAAAGCAACTACATATTAGTTCTTGATAAAAGTAGAATGGTAGTGTTTTTATGAATAAGTAAGGCTTCCCCACTGAGTAAAGAAAAAATCATGACAAAAACAAATCATGTACCCGCCTAAAATGGCACCACATCAAAACTTAGGAAGGTACTTTCACAAGTGGTAGTAAACAAAACACGTATGCACGGCGTAAGAATGATATAAAGCTCAAAAAACAGATGGGATCGTAAAAAAATAATGACAAAGCAAACAAAAAAACAACCATCAGCAATGCATGTAACATGGACAAGAAACTGTGTGATAAACAAATGGAGCAATCTCAAACAAGAGGGGGAACATATTTAAACAAAGGAAGAACAAATCATGTCGAGTAATATTCAGCCAACGATATCAAGCAAAACGAAAAGAGACAAACACAAATACAATATAAAAACAAACGTGAGAGTTCAGGGATTTCCTGGTAAGTAAGATGCTGAGCGTTGACACACGCACATGCACATCCTTGAAAGAAGAGAGTCAACAAGAATCACCTCCATGAAGAATCAAAAGACAAATCCGTTAGAAAGAGAATCAATGGTGTCCAGTCTCCCATCACGAGCTGCAAGGTATAGTTGGTTCAATCTTGATTGTTCCATACCTTCTGATCTATCTCTTTCGAATTGGGTGTTTGTAGCGGACTGAACAATCTTGTCGACCCCAAATTCACCAGTTATACCTGGAATGGAACCCTGTTGAGGGATCTGTGAGAATTGTTGAGGTTCTTGGTCGAATCCATACAGTATAGGCAATTCTTGTTGAGGCTTATACTGCATATGTTGACCCTTGGGGTTTGCACTAGAACGGCCCCAAGATAGCCTAACCCTGGAGTTACCAATTGGATATCCCTGCATCTTTGAAATGGCCAATTCTGCAGACGTGCGAGTTGTATATTGGACAAATCCACAGCCTTTCCCAATTGGGATCTTCACATAAGTAATATCGCCAAAAGGTTGGAAATACAGACGCAGATCCTCTTCTGTAACGACAGAACTCAACCCACCGATGAAAACTGTCGTATTATTAGGGTCTGTAAACTGGTTAAGTGGTGGTTGGTATTGGGAATCTAACGATCCCAATATTTGTTGGGCCCTAGGGGTGGATAGCAGAGGTTGCTGCTGTGGTTGCTCCTGTTGGAACTGTTGTGGCTGGTGTGAGAACTGCTGCGATTGGTATTGGTTAGCGAATCTCTGTTGGAATTGTTGACCTTGTACTTGTCCCTGACCTTGTCCCTGACCCTGCTGACGATTCTTTGGGACTGCAGTGGACACACGAATTGGACGTCCATTGACAACGGCACCTTGCATTTCTACAAGGGCTCTTTGTTGGTCGGTGTCACCAGAAAATCTCACAAACCCATAACCTTTTGACAACCCAGATTGCATATCAACCATGATCTTTGTACCTGTAACTGATGGATACTTGGATGCAAAGAACTCGAAAAGGATGGACTCTGTAACATCAGGTGCTAAGTCACCGACAAAGATGGAATTCTCGTTAGACGCATTGCCATTACCGTTAGCACCAGAATTGACATTGGCATTGTTATTTCTTCCAGTCGATCCACCAGATGCCCAGTTCAACTTGAGCAATCTGTTTGTGTTTGCAATACGAGAACCGTTCTTGGAGAGCGCATCGGACGCCTGGTTCAAATTCGGGAACTCAACAAAGCAATACCCAGCGTTGTACGCTTGGGTTCCGGTCTTGAAGTCCTTGATGATCTTAACGTTCACATCAACAAACCCAAACGATTGCCAAATGGCCTTGATGAAGCTCTCATCCCAAAATGGGTCCAACTCTCCCATCCATAGCTGAGTAGAGCTATTACGCAACGTTGATTGCTGCTGTGGACGGTATGGATGATAGTTTTGCTGCTGAGGCTGTTGAGAATAACCGTTGTAAGACATTCTTGTAAATAACAGTAAAAATGGTATGTGACAGACTCAAAAAAAAGCAGAGAAAAAAGGGGAGACAGAAGACGAAATGGACAATATAAAATGAGTCGTAGAAACTGTTGATGTTTGTTTTCTTTACAACTTCAACAAAATGTAAACAAACACAAAACGGTTAAAATGATGGAAACAGAAACACAGCGGCTAATTTTACAACCTCAAACAAAATGATAAAACAAAACACAAACACAAAAAGGAAACAAGGAAAGCAAAACAAAACACTTCGTCAGAGATGTAACGTGTATTTCAGATCACGACGGGATGATATTGCTTCTTTTTTTTCTGTTTGTTTGTTCCTTCAAGTTCTATACCACTTGATCTGGGTTCACTGGTGGCGATTTAATTAGCGTGGATGGAAACCTCTGCTTCAACACAAAACAGATCTTCTTCTTTCGAACTAAGCGCTCTATGCCAACGGTTATTATTTGTCTCGTTTGTACCAACGGTTGGGTGTGGTTTGTTGTTTGGTTCTGAAGCTTTTTATGCTTTTTTCTTGTTTTTTGCCTTTTGATCTTTGTGCACTGAAAAGCGGCTAAATTGTGAGGTTTTGAAAGTGTGCGCCAGAGAGGGCGCACGCGGGAGCGCGCGGTGGGAAAAAACTTTCACATTTGGTGAGGATCTGGTGTCTGGGTGTTTGGGTGTTTGGATGTTGTCTTTGCAAGGATCTACGTTGTTGTTATAGTGACGGGTCAAAAATATATATACTTTGGTAAAATAAATAAGTTAAAATAAATAGAATAGATAAGTTAAAGCAAACTGGGGACCTTCTTAGTATGTCTTGTCCACTCTCATACCGTACAATGCGGCTTCGTCGTCGTTCTTAGCACCAAAGTCACGTGCAAGCCCATCTGGATACTCCCTTGGAACAGCACGACGCTCTGGGTAGAAAAAGAAGTACATGAAAGCACTGAAGACTCCCACTCCTGCAAAGAATATCAGCTGGAATGAGACTGCAGTGGAATCCGACACAGTGTCGTAGTAAGTTGGAGCCCACAAGTTCAAAATGTCATCATCTGGGTTCAACAATTCACCAACGTTACGACGGTTCTGTGGATCATCCCACTTCGCATCCGGGTCTCTGTAATAGTACAGCTCAGGCTTGACGTATGGATATCCATCCTCTTGCAATGGGACGTCTTTACCCAGTGGAGGTGTTGTAACAGAAGATTGGAAACGTTTGATACCAACAACGTTTGTTCTCAAGATATTCGCTGAAAGAAGGCTCTTGGTAGTACCTCTAACAGCTCTGCTCGCAACTCTTTGTGTGATGAAGTTCATTGTTCCTCTTCCCCTCTGGTCTTAAGACAAAAACTTCAACGTGCTGGGTTGTTTATGGAAGCTCTCCATTTCCAAGGGGGGGAAAGTAAGCTCCCCTTTGCGAAATTTGGCGAGGGAGAAAAAAGTTCAAAACTTCGCGAAATACAGTGGTGTCCGGGTGTTGATGCCATTAAGTATGGGCCACTACTTAACCAATCAATGACAGGTTTATATATGTCTTCTTATAGTATTCAAGAGGTCTAATCATGTGGTGCATTGTCGATCAATTCTTGTAGACTCATGTTTCTTACCATCTCCATCAAGTGCTCGTCATCGGTGAACGAGTTCATGATACGATCGTCTATGAAATCTTCCAATCTCTCAACGTTTCCAACTTTTGGTGGTAAAATGTCATACTCAAAGATCTCATTCTCCTCCCACCATTCCTTTGGAATCTTTGCCATGACTTTACCTTCATCGGATAAGATGGCAAATCTGATGAAGTTGTTTGGTATTAGGCCATTTTTCTCTCTGGTGTTGTCGAGGGCTATTTCACTGCGAATGAACTCCAGTAGAGTGTCGTGTAGGAAGGTACGATCCTGGGCATTCTTCCAAATAGCAGGAGCCTGTAGTAGGTATGCAGTTGTAGTGGCCTCTATCTCAGGCCCAACTTCGAAAACAGAATAGTCGTTCACTGGGATGTCATCGGCCAACCCAATGCTCTCCAATAGTTTATAACCAGTATACGGGTGTGCAACAAAGGCTCTTTGTAAAGCCTCCTTCGCCTCCTTATGTTTCCCCAAAGAGAGGAGTGCTAATGGACACGAATACGCCAGTCCTGGAGTATACCAGTTCGTATACGTCTTGACCAACGCACTGTTGACGAAATCCACGAGCCATTGGAATTCGCCAGCAATACATGCATAAAAATCTATGAAATATCTCACTCCAAATGGATCTTCTGATGGATCTAATGACAAAAGGAGTTTGGCATATGTGAACGCAGTGTAGTGTGTACCTTTTTTAGTCAGGACTTGGATGTACCTGAAGATGGCAAGGTAAAACTCACGGTTTAAGTAATAATTGAAAGGCAGTCTCGAGAGACCATTGCCTATTTCAAACGATTGTTTAAAGGCACGGTCAAAAGCAAAGAGTGCACGCTCCACTAACCCATTCGAGTTAGACTTGTCACCTTGTCTGATCAGTATCAGTGCGACTTGAAGGATGGTTTCGACATGGTAAGGGTATCTACCCAATAATTGGGCCACTGCTTCATGATTAGGTCTAAGAACAACAGAAGCAAAGAATTGAGAGTTTGCCATCTTTGAGTCCTCACCTCTTTCAAATTTGTAATACTTGATGCCGTATTTCAACTCAGTGGTGACGTCGTTATTAATAACATCGATCCAATCTTCGCTTGTGGACAATCTGTCCTGCACAATCTCCCTAGCAGTAAGCTCTTCCATGGTCATATCTTTCTTTTGAGTTGGTATCCAATCGTCTCTGATCTTTGTCAATACTAGCTTTCTAGTAGTACCTGGTATAGATCTTCTGTCACGACCTCCCCAGCCTCTAACGATTCTAGCCATTCTCCTGATCTTTTGTAGATCCTCAGGTGGTATAGACGTCGAAGTTGTAGAGTTGGCATCGTCAATTGCCTCTTGTGACAACTTACCAAACAATTTCTTGAACTCATTATCCGGGTCCAAGTCCTTGGTGTCGACGGACAGCAGTTTGGCACACCTCACCTGTTTCTTTGGGGTGAAGAATCTAAAAGATGGGTCCAATATGAAGTGGGCGGTGTCATCTTCATCATCTTCATCCATATCGAGCTCCTGTGTGGTATCTATGGCTTGTTCTGGCTCAATTCCGTATTCTTTTAACACTTTATCAAAGTCATCCTCGGAGTCTTCCTTTGCAACCTGCGCCTTTGCCTTCTTCTTGTTCTTCCTTTTCTGAGACTTTGTAGGTAGTGAAACCTTCATAGGCTCAGGCTTCACAGCTTCATCTGTGTCATCCCTGGCATGGTCATCAACGTCATCGTCAGAGTTATCTCCAATCAGGGCAAACAGGTTCTTCTTCGCCTTCTGTTGCTGTGGTGGATGTTGGTATTCAACCTCATCATCAACCTCTGGTGCTTCCTCAGAAGCAAGTGTCTCCCTCTGCCTCTCCAGTCTTCTAAGTGCTCTGGAACTCATGTTTCTGCTCTCTTGATAATGGCAAATAGCAATTGGATGGCCTCGTTGAACATGAAAGAGTTTCATCAAATGAACAAATCGAGTAATAATTTCCTCACGAGTAAAGACCGTAACTGTGGTAACCAAACAAAGTTTCGACAAAGGCGTGAAAAAGAAACTTTTTAGTTGGGGCCACACTTGTTGGTTATGAGCGCGTGGTCGCTTCCCGAGAGACACTTTTTTATCGCTTGTTGGGCTTTCATTACCTGGAACCAACAGTTCTACAGCCTCTCTCCTCCTCCAACGCTTCGATACTGAGCCTTTGGTGGTTGAAGGAACCGAGTGTGTAGGTGTGTACGGATTCATGTCTCTGGAACAGAAGCCTATGGCTCAGCGAGTCAAGCGGCAGTCACAGCCGACGCTTAGAAGGCAACTTCATGAGAAACAGTGGACTCTGTGGAACTGGTATCGTCATATCCAGTGGTCAGGCACTATGATAACGGTGGTGATTCCCCTGTGTGCCTTGTACTATGCTATGGAGCTGCCGTGGAATGCTAACACGTTGAAGTTCTCCCTGGCGTATTACTGTTTCACCTGTACTTGTTTTATAGCAGGCTATCACAGACTATGGGCACACAGATCGTTCCAGGCGATGCCCTGGGTTAAGACTACTTACGCAGTTTTCGGTTCGAGTTGTGGGCTGGGTTCGATAAAATGGTGGACAGCCATGCATAGAGCCCATCACAGATATGTCGATACTGAAAAGGATCCTCATTCTATAAGAAAGGGTATTCTGTGGAGTCATATGGGTTGGCTCCTCTTTAAACCTCATATCAAAGTGCAGAACTCCATTAGGGAATGCACCGGTGATGATTTGGAGAGAGATCCGCTAGTTATATGGCAAGACGCCAATTATTGGGGCCTAGTTGTCATCACCAGCGTTTTGATTCCAAGTGCCATCTGTGGTGTTTTCTGGAACGATTATCTTGGAGGTCTGGTATTTTCAGGCTTACTAAGAGGTGCAATGATGCAGCACACTCTGTTCTCTGTGAACTCCCTTGGTCACATACTGGGCACTCGTCCATTTGATGATCGTAAGAGTATGAGAAACAATTGGCTTTTCTCCTTCTTGACGTTTGGTGAAGGTATGAATAACTTCCACCACGAGTTCTCAGCAGATTACCGTAATGGTATCCACTGGTACGATTTTGACCCTGTTAAATGGCACCTGTTTCTAATGTCCAAGTTCGGGTTCGTTTGGAACTTGTACAGATCTTCAAATGCTGCGATTAATCAGTGTCTGATACAACAACAGCAGAAGATCATTGATCGGAAAAGGGCTAAGCTGAACTGGGGAGTGCCTATTGAAAAATTGCCCACTGTTTCACCAGAAGAATTCAGAAGATGGGCCAAAGAGGAAGCTCCGCAACGTGCTTTGGTTGCCGTTGCAGGAATTATCCATGATGTTACCCCGTTCATGAACGACCATCCAGGTGGATTGGCTTTGATTCGCTCCTCCATAGGTAAAGATGCTACATCGGCCTTCAACGGTGCAGTTTACGACCACACAACAGCAGCGCACAACCTCTTGGCCACTATGAGGGTGGCTGTTCTCAGTGGTGGGACTGAGCAGATCGTCTGGAGACAACAACAACAGGAGAACAAAGATGTGCCATTGAAACAAGACTCTGAAGGCAGGAAAATCGTTCGCACAGGTGAACAAGCTACGATAATGAAAAAGCCTGTCCGCACTGCAGACGCTGCCTAAACACACACACACACACACACACACAACATTGGCTACGCACTAAGTATGTTAACCATAGACAAACTAATACTAATGAATGAACCATGATGATATGTCACATCCAAAAACCTTGTAATTCTTAGCTATTATAGCACTCCTACGCTGACTCGTTTAGGAGAGAAGACAATATGCCCTATGACGTATTTTTAATATTGTGTCACGTGACTAGACCTAACTTGCTGTTTTATATATAGCAATCAAACAAACACCCGTCCTTGCCATTGTCTTTTTGATAACTTCTAGTGGAACTAGGGAAAGTATATAAAGTGCTCAAATTCCCTTCTTAGACCCCTTAGTTCGAATTTCCCCCCTCCCCCTCCTCAATTAATTTTAGTTTAATACCCACGTCTTCATACAACCAGCATTAAAATGTCAGCTCCAGTCAAGGTCTTCTTCAAAGGTGAACACAGAGACTTCATAGTCTTTGTCGAAAGTCATGATATTATCGAAAAGTACCAGAAGGACCCATCTGTTCCATTGTCCAGCGTTGTTGCTGGTGGTTTCAAAGTGTATACTCCAAACACTGGAAGAGGCTCTGAAGGTGTATTGGATGAAGCTTCCGATTTGGACCTGGAATCAGAATTCCACACAAAGGTTATTGAAGATATCATTGTCAAGATTTGTAAAAACGGTGAATACAAAAGCTCTCCAGATGTCAACAACAAGACATGGACATCAACGAATGATTCGAAATATGGTCATTGATGAAAGCAGATGAGCATTGGCCAGTAAATAAAGAAAAAGGAAAACGAATCAATACTTTGATCCAGCTAGTATCGACTTCAATGCATCTCCAAAGACTATAGATGTCTTTCTCATAAGTGAAACTCTCTTTTTTGTAGTGTCTTTATTCAATTGCGCATGCAGATCCTCGTCTTTTGGTGTAGTCTGGCCAAATTCCCTAGCTGTTGATCTCTTGGTCCTGGAATGAGCTCTAGAAGGTGTACTCTTGGCCCTCCTACTAAGAAAGCCGTTAGATACCAACTCATCGCTCCAGATATCCTCCAATTGATTCTCAATCCTTGATTTATCCAGGTCCTTGAGATGTATAACTGGAGGTTTATGTGGACTTTTTGGATAGTTATTACTGGCATAATTCAGTGCATTGTCAATAACTGCATCACATATGAGCTCAACATCAATTGGAAATACCTGACAGAAGTAGCAATTGTCATTGGCTCCAATGTTACTATAATCTGATTCTAAATACCGGCGATGAAGATGTCTTCTTATTGAGCCAGTTGATGTTGTCGTTATGAATGGCCTCATAACCTTATCAAGCTTAGTATCGAAAGCACGAAATGGAGATGGGATTATACAGGACGAATGTGTCCCTTGCTCTTCGTTGAACTTTGATGAGGAATAATCAAATTGATAAGGTCCATTGATGAAGTCAGTCATGATATGTAACTTTTCCCTCCAAACAGTTGACTCGTGAGAATCTGTGGATAGTAAGAGTAACTCAAACAACTGATACTTATGCTCAAACACGAGCTTGAAACAGTATTCATAATTTGTATGAATCCCACCATGAGCATCGTTTGATTCGACAATCTTCGAAACCGATAGTGGTATCAAGAATTTGACTTCGTATCTACTTGGCCTAACAACATTGGCCAATATTAAATGTGTCTTAAATAGGAAAACACCGAGTAACTGGCACTGAATTTGGGAATCCTTCCCTACCCAGGCACTGTACAATGCACCTTTTAACACTGGGAACCCCAAGTACTCCACTGGGAATTGAAGCAAATTCGAAGGGAATACCAAACTTTCAAACAATTTCTTTGCCATGTTCTTCTCTTGCAATCCATATCGATTGACCTCCATAAGACAGTATTCTGTTTGAATAATGCTATCCTGGATAGATCTGTGAGCCATCTGGTCATCTTCAATAGGTGTCATCTTTTTCAACGTTTCCAAGAATAACTTGTACTTGGAAATTCTTGAAATTGGTTTAGATATCAAAGATACAAATGATAAGTCCATTCTCATTCCAATGGTTCCAGATGTTTCCAAGAAGTTTTGATAGCCCATTGTCAAGGTTTTCCCAATGTCGGGATCATCCTCTTTCGATTGCATCAACTTCAAGACTAAATCGTAAATGCTATTGTACTCCTGGTAGATATAAACTGATATCAGTCTCTTGCTTATCAATTCTGCAACTAAAGCAGCCATCATTGGTGAGCTGCGAGAGCATAGGCTCTTTGTCTTTGAATCAAATTCTTCACTTATACTGGGAAAGTAGTCGATGAATGAATTTCTCGATGACAATGAGTACAAGTGTTGTAGTTGGTCTCGGAAACTTTCATGCGATTGTATCAAAATGTCAGCGTAATCATGAATCAATCTCAAGGGAACCCCATTGTTTCCTTTTTCTATGAGCATTGCAAGGTAAAACCCTGAAAGGATTCTCAAGGAGCTTATGTAGCTCTCCTCCGTCTCTAAGATCTCTTCTATTATCTTTCTTCTAGAGAATTCCCTTTTCGATGAAGGTGATAAATCCTGGTATTCTAGAACTTGTGGTGACAATTTGGAAGAGTTTGTATACTCTGTAATGGATGGAGTAACCTTATTGAATGTGGATGTGCTGATTTGCATCAAAGCCAAAGCCACCAAGGCACTGGAGAATCCAGTGAGTAAATTCGCATCGCTGGTGCTACTCAACTGACCAAGGCTTAGTGGCTCCAGCTTTATGTCACCGGTACTAGGAGCCAGAAACGGGCCTGGACTTTGTAAAGGTGTGTACACCACGTCATCATGTTCCATTGGCTGCAATTTGTCATCAGTTTTGCTCTCAACTTTATCGTTGTTGTTATCTTCACCATCCACATGTTCATGGTTATTCACTCCAACAACCCCAGCTGCTTCTCCCATATTGATCTTGGTGACATCCGCTTCAAAGCCTGTCCCCTGTAGAGTACCAAACACACCAGAAGGCAACGATTTGATAGCACTCTGAGCACCCCTCTCTGCAACTTTACTCAGCATTACTAGGAAGTGACACCTAACCTCTCAGATATACTATAGCTGTAATGAAAACTGTGTCTTTTTCACTCAATCACCCACCAAGCTAGCTCTGGTTCACACGAATTGAGTCTACTAATGAAAGACAGACTATCTTCACGTCTTTCAGTTATTTATACACACAAATCCCCCAAAATGCTTTGGCACAAAAACACTGGTTGGAGTTATTCTTTCCATCAAGGGAAGTTTTGAGGCCCTTTGTATCCTTCTGGGAAAACTGTGTCTCTTTTCACGGTGCCTGTAGGACTCCATTTGGGCTCAGAGGCTCTCTTTCCAGCTTCTGATGATATGATTTATGAGCCCCTTCCAATGGTAGGTGGAGGAACCAATCGTCAAGTTGCTGATGTTCACATTCAATGGAAGCGTACAGCTTTGAGGTGATATATACCACAGTGTTTTAGATTGCAGCTCACATAACTAGCTACGAGTATGTCTGCAATTGCATGATGATAGTACCACTGATGCGACCATCCCCCCGTTGCAAATCAGATCATATCAGTATACAGGTCTTAAGAAATCCTTGGATATGTTGAGAACACGGTGTGGTGTTCCAATTGAGGGCTTTGCATGCTCCAAATACGTTGAGAGAAATCTCTTCAAGTGGACAACAGTAGAAAATAGAAAGAATATGCAACATAGCTTCCTCCAGTTGATATTTGAACCTGATTCCTAAAAAAGTCACACTAATCCAAGAATGAAGGGGTTCTTCTGTCAGATCCATGAGAAGAATAAAGTCAACAGCACTTATAATCTCATCATCAACACGCAAGACTGTGCAAGAGGTCTTCAACTTTGCAATTCGGTAACTCCAAAGTTTGATATCATGTCATCCAAGCATTGTGAGGTTTCGTATGCAGAAATGTAAGCATTTAGGCGTTTGAACCCAATCAGTATCACTATCGAAGTGCTGTTGATGCAGTGTGACAAGGTAAAAGTCACAGAGTCTGTGAGCCTTTATTGGAAAACAGTAAAACAGACGGCTGGAAATGTTGACGAAGAGGAAGAACCGGAAGGTGTCGAGACGCTCACAAGCTATGGCCCATTGTTATATTCAACAACCATCACCACTCATTCTTGTTTAAACAGCGAAGAGGCCAGTGTAATTGTTGATTCGAATTCACCTCGAACAGGTATGAAGATTCACAAGCATAGTGTATCACAGGGCTGTGGTTTGTCTCTTGATGGGCTTCTAAAGGTGTTGAGAGTTTATGCGAAGAAGATGAAAAGACGTGATCTGTTTGTTAGCTTTGTGCTTATCTTTATTATCAATTATGATTCAGAATAGCCATTGTTGCTGAGATGCGATACACCACCTCCAAGGAAGGGAAAATGGAAGTAAAGTCTACATACAGCTGTTCCCACCGTCACAATCAAGCGTGTACATCCCTCGAGTGTCCTCATATTACTTGTGTGAATATGAGACGCACTCTCAATGGTCAAGCCCTTATCCCATCAGTGTGCCGGCTTGCCAATGACATTCTCTACGAAGCTCGTAGAAGGAAGAACTCGGGTTACTGTCCACCAATGTTCATGTACCAAAGCTGTGTTTCAAAGGCCAACATCTGTATCATACGGAACACGGCACCTCAAAGCTCCACCTCGGTAGTGAACAACTTCAGCAAAGAGACTCTACTGAAGGCATTTGAAGTGCTAACAGCTCACCACAACTCGAAGAAGAAGAAGAAGAAGAAGAAGAAGAAGAAGGAGAAGAAGAAGAAGCAGAAGGCCACATCTGCTTCCAATAAAACTCCTTCCAACGTTGGGAAGAAGAAGAGAGGAAGACCACGACCAAGAATGTCAGACAAAGAGAGCAATTATAAGGCTGAAACGCTTCTGGAAGGAGCTGAGCCCGGAACTAAAACACACCAAGCCAACCCACAACCAACCTAACCTGTCCTTCGTATAGAATCCCCACAAAGCACTATAATTATCAGTGTGTTGTTGATGGTTTTACAGTAGTTTTAACCAACGATACTCCCACCACTACACATGCTGCATGCCAGTGCATAAAAACACATACTGGTAGGGGCAGCAGCTAAGAGTACTCATTCTCCAAAAAAATAAATTCCGGTACGGGGAATCGAACCCCGGGCTGGTCGGTGAGAGCGACCGATGTTAGCCACTACACCATGCCGGATCTTTCTTGTTTGGTTTTGCCAACTGTTTGTTATACTGTCTGCGCATATCACCGTTTAGTTACCCTACTTCTCAAGACGTATACAGCCAAATTCACCAAAAACCAAAGAGAAGGACATCCCCCTTTTGAGGAAACAACACAAACAGCCTCCATAGCTCTCTCTCTCTACACAGTTGAGGTGGTCATAGAACAGGAAATAACAATGGTGAGTGAATGCCCGGATCGCGTGTCGTGTGTATGGCCGGCTGTCGACTTCAATCCCAGTGTGGGTTGGCCGTCGTGAAGGTCACATTATGCCCTCTCCATCAGCTACTAACAAGTTTGCCAACATAGTCAACACAAACGGGTATCCAAACGCTTCTGAATGCCGAGAAGGAGGCACACAAGATCGTTTCTGAAGCCAGAGCGTACAGAACGGCCCGCTTAAAAGCGGCAAAGACCGACGCTGCTGCTGAGATTACTGCTTATAAGCAGAAGAAGGAACAGGAGTTGAAGCAGTTCGAGGCAGAGCACTCTGGTCTGAACGAGACAGCAGAGAAAGAGGCCGAGGAGCAAGTGAAAGTGGAGCTTGTTGAGATCCAGAAGACTGCGGCCGATAAGAAGTCTGACGTTGTCAAGTTGTTGATTGATGCCGTTACAAAGCCAACTCCAGAGCTTCACATTAACGCCTGAATGTCCCTACTACACACACCCTCACTGTCTCTCTGATTGATTCATAGAGTCCAATTGGGCCTTTAATACACTTCTAACTCATTGCATTGTGGTTAACCCCCTCCCATCGCTGTGTAGCTATCTCAGGCTCTTGTCCATGTCTGTCTGAGCGTAAACTCCGTTGTATGTGTCTATACTGTTTCGGCTCACGGAGGCTGGAAAAATTTCTCATCTCATCACAGACCTCAACAGAGTACTAATTCTCGAGACAGAGCTTGTGTATCGGTACTGACAGATGGCCTCTGCTGATGCTTATTCCTCTGACGAGGAGGATTCCGCCTTCCCACGCTCATCGCGCGTGTCGCTTGGGTTTGTTGATGTTGAGATTGAGAGATCTGACGATGAGCCAACGGTAGAGGACTCGTTCATCGGGGGACAGCCTGTTTGGTTCGACGGCTCCAGGCCAGACGACTCTCTGTTGAAATGTAAGAACTGTATCAGCCCGATGGCTCTGATCTTGCAAGCATATGCGCCTCTGGAGGGCTCGTACTACGACAGAATCATCTACGTGTTTGGGTGCAAGAAGTCCGAGTGTAATAGAAAACCAGGCTCAATAAGGGCGCTGAGGGCACTGTCCAAGGACCCAAAACGTATGGAGGAGCTGAAGCAGGAGGATCTAAACCAGCAGCTGGACTCCAAACTGAAAGTTGACGAGGGAAAGAACTTCCTGTTTGGCACAGATGGCAAGGTAACGGAAGCACAGGCGAACCCATTTGGTGGTAATCCGTTCAGCTCTGCGGGTTCTAACCCATTTGGTGCTCCAGACTCAAACCCATTTGCAAAGAAGGAAGAGGATGTCAAGGACTATGCCTCTGTTGCAACGAAAGCAGCACCAGCGAAGCCACTGAAGAAGCAAGAAGCCACTGACGGTGCCAATAAGGTGAAGGAGCTACCAGAATACCCAGGCTACTTCCTCTACGTTGATGAGGAGAAGTTTCAGAAGAAGCAGCACTCAAAGAAACTGCCTGATAACGTACACATCAATGACTCTGCACTGGACTTTGAGAACGAGGTTGGTGGCTCATCAAGGGAACTTTCAAATGAACAACAAGCCATTGCGGCAGGATTACAGGACAAATCGTTCCAGCACTTCTCAGAGGTTGTGGAATACAATCCATTGCAAGTGCTCCGCTATGACATTGGTGGGTCTCCGCTGCTGTTCAGCTCAAAGGATGAAACTTCAGTGAAGATCACCAAAAACCTGGTTCCAAACCCAGGTTACAACCCTTCAAGCTCAAGACAGTTTGAACTACAAGTGATGCCAAAGGCCATCATCGACTTCGAAAGAGATCAAGTGGAGATCACTGGAGGCATCGAATGGGGGACAATCATCGTCTACACGGACAAAGAGGACTACATGCCAGGTCTAAGCGATGGTGATAACAGCAGCCACGTTGGATACGTGGAGGAATGGGTCGGTGTTCAATGGGAAGAGCCTATTACAAAGAAGTGAAAACTACGTTTGGTATAGCATATGTACACGATTCTGTATGTTCTCTGTGTGTGTTATTTACAAGTATCTTGGTATCTCGTTTTCCTCGTAGGCCTGTACAACATCACCAGGTTTGAAATCAGACCAGTCTTCAAACGATAGCCCACAGTCTTTGCCCTTCTTTACTTCTAGCACATTGTCCTTCAAATGCTTCATGGTTTCGAATTTCCCTCTGTAAACCTCCTGGTCGTTTCTCATAACTCTCACTTTGGACTTCTTTTCAATAGTGCCAGAAGTGACTTTACAACCAGCAATCTTGAAAACGGTTCTACGTTTACCTTTGATTTCAAATATCTCCTTGACTTCGGCCTCAGCTCGGACCTTTAGCTCGATAGTTGGTGCCAGCTTGCTAGAAAGTTCGGCAGTAACATCCTCAATCAGGTGGTAAATCACATTGTGATTCTTCAGAACAACGCCCATCTTAGCAGCCTTGTTCTCAATATCCTTTGGAACTTTCATGTTAAAACAGAGGATCTCTGCATTGGAAATTTGGGCTCTTTCTAAATCTGAGTCAGTTGGTGCGCCAGCTCCTTGTTTGAGAATGGTGAGCTTCACCTCGTCGTTGCCAATGTCCTTAATGGATTCCACAATTGCTTCGACAGACCCACTGACGTCCGCACGGACAATATAATTGACGTTCTGCTGAACTGGCTTATCATCTGAAGCTTCTTCACCACTGTTGATGTCCTCCTCTTCAAGGCCATATTTACGTAACTCGTCCAATCTGTCACGTTGCTCCATCTCCTTCTTCGCATCGACTCTCAGCTTGTTAATGACATCAATGTCTTCAACTTGTTTAGATCTCTCTTCTCTCAAAATTCTAGTCTCAATGACCCTTTTCGCCTGTGATTCGTCCTTAGCCTGGAGACACTCGTCACCTGCTTCTGGAACCTCTTTCCAGCCCCAAACCTCAACTGGAGTGGAAGGCAGCGCTTGTTTAACAGGCTTGCCGTGTTCATCCTTCATAGATCTCACTTTACAGTATGTCTTACCGGCAACGAGAACGTCACCTTTCTTCAAAGTACCCTGACGAACCAGTACAGTGGCCAATGGACCCATACCTTTCTTGGACTGGGATTCAATGATCCAGCCTTCCACTGGCACTTTCTTATCAGGTGCCCTGATATCCAGCACCTCAGACAGTGTTATGATGGATTCTTCCAGCTTGTCCATGTTCAACCCTGTGAGGCCAGACACCCTGACGGTCTGGGTTTCACCACCATAGTCTTCAACATCGATATCGTTGTTGGCCAAATCTGCAATGACTCGCTCAGGATTGGCACTCTCTTTATCACATTTGTTCACTGCGACTATAACAGGCACTGCAGACTGCTTGATATGCTTTATAGCCTCCTTGGTCTGTGGCATCACAGAGTCATCGGCTGCCACAACCAGGATCACTATATCGGTCATCTCTGCACCACGTTGTCTCATTTTCAAGAAGGCAGCGTGTCCTGGAGTGTCCAGGAAGGTGATCTGCTTCTTGGAGATTGGGGTCTTCACCGAGAAGGCACCTATATGCTGGGTGATACCACCGTGTTCTTGGTCAACTATGGACGATTTCCTCAAATGGTCCAATATCGTGGTCTTCCCGTGGTCAACATGACCCATGATCGTCACAATAGGAGGCCTGGTCTTCCAGCTCGACGTGTCCTCGGGTATATCCATGGGCTTCAGGTCCTCTCCCTCCTTCTCCTCAACAAAGTGCGCCTCGTAGCCATACTCATCGGCAATGAGCCCCGCTGTTTCCTGGTCAAGGATGAAGTTATAGGTCAGGTCTTCGAACCCCATCTCCTCCAACCGCACAAGAAGCTTCTCGTAACGCACGTTAAGGATATTCGCCAGCGACGCCACCGTGGTGAACCTTGGAATCGTCAGTGTCTTCACCTTCAAGGGCTTCTTCTTTGCGTACGCCGGCGATGAGCATGACATCTGTCTCGAGCACAACGGCAGCTTTGAACAGCGCGCTCTCACAGCCCCTGATGAGCAGAGCGACTTCCCATAGCTTCTAAGCACACACCTGAACATCATCGCTTCCTTATACTGATGTTCAAACCGCTACAGAGGATGAGATGAACCCAGTGAAACACCGATGAGGAAACAGACGAGGGAAAAAATTCAACCTCCGGGTCCAAGTGTTACCCTGCCGGAGCGCTCAGCGGAAATTTCCCACCGCGTTTCATTTCGTTTTTTTTCCTTTTTTGTCCTTTGGCGTGCTTTCGTTGTTTTGCTTTTCGAATTTTGCGCTTTCTTCAAACGTGAAGAACAAGGAAACCAAAACAAACGAACAAAGCACTGGCGGTTCGTCCAATTCACCACGGCGGTTGATCGATTGTTGCCTGATTGTGTTGTCTTCATCACCATCTCCATCTGCCATCTGTTTTTCCTTTCATATTCGTCTTCTCAGGCCGCCGCTCTTGACGATCATTGCACACAGACCAGCAGGTAAACAAAGCGTCATTTACACACACACACGGTGCCATACCACATCTCACCCACGATGGACCAACGACAAGCGCTAAGGGACATCAGTACGAACTCACCCCGTGTGAAGCGCCAGAAGACTAGCGCAGTGCGGGCAGCTCATGGGGACGCTGTTGTTGGCTATACGCTACCGGAATGGCAGAGGAAGTGGCGTGCCATAATGACAACATGCGTTGTGTACTTTGACATCAACGACAAGGAGTCTAAGCGTAATGACAGGGAAAGAGCGATGAAGCTCTTTCAGGGAGTTGGGTCGCGTATCCAGCAGTTCTTCGATAACTCTGTGACCACGGTTATCTCCAGGCGTCCAAAGAGTGAGCTTCCGAGAAATATGGTCTCACAACCTGGGTTGAAGATCTGGGACTATGACAAGACCTTCCGTTTCTTTCGGAACTTGGGTGAGCCTATCCCAGATGTTCCCAAGGACCATCAACTACTGACCATGTTGAACGATGAGAAATTGCACGGTATGTCAGCAGATCGGGACCCGAATGCCAAACGTGATGATTTCATCTATTTCAAGGGCCCATTTTTTTATGTCTTTGACATCCGTGGTATAGTGAGACCCGTTGCAGTTAGAGAGTGGAAGTCAAAAGATATTAAGCATGACCAGAAGAAACCATGGCCGCACTTCCACGAATCTTCATATGGCCATTCCTTATTCCAAGCTGATCCTTCTGATATGATGGAGCCTCGTAAGGTTCTGAAGAGGAAGATGAGGGATGAACAAAACGCAGAGTACAGAGAAAGGCTAAAGCTGGTCTATGCAAAGACCAACAAGCGTAAGTACAACCATGAAGGCGTTGAACTGACGGAGTCAGAAGATGATACCACGCTAAGCATCGATACCACACAAGATGAGAGTGCCGTAATGAAAACCAACTCCACTCCAAAGATGCCACCACCTTCAAATCAACAGCATTCACAAACACAACCTCAGTCTCAATGTCAAACGCAACAGCTGGAATTCCAGCGTCCTAGTGCATTGATGAGACAACATTCCCTAATCCAGAACAAGTACGTTGAACCTGTACAACGTGATGGGTTTGAGATTCAAGCGTCTGGTTATGCCGGTTCGGTATCACAGCAGAGTGCCAGTGCCAGTGCCAGCGCCAGCGCGGAGTCTCAATCCAACAGAAATGGATTGGCACCAAGTGGGTCTACTGTTTCTTCCAAACAGTTGAGTACTCTACAGAAGAAGATTGTGGAGAAGAAGAAACAATCTTCACAACTACAGCATCAACAACAGCAGCAGAGCTGTACCCAAAAACCGAAGGTGTCCGGTTATTGTGAAAACTGTAAGAATCATTTTGATGATTTCGACGAGCATGTCATTAGCCAAAAGCATAGAGAATTCGCCAGAGATGCTGAAAACTTTGAAGATATTGATAACTTGATCATGGCGTTGAGAGAACGGGTGTTGAACAAAGAGTGATGTATTCTCTTCCTTCACTCAATTGGGTCTCGTCACGGCATAAATATATATCTACAACCTGCATAACCTTGTCCTGCCAAATCCACGTCCATTTGCATATCTGTAATCCTAAGAATAGTGTAAGTCTAACATACCACACGATGAAAGAAGAGGCTTCGAACTGTGGCTACACCCACTGGTTGAGCGTATATACCAGAGGTCGAACATCCGTACACCCATAGTTAACAGATCTCGAGGGAAGACATGTATAAAAACCTTTATAAGCGAGGAGTTCGTGTATAAACGAAGTGCTTAATATCAATCCGATTGTAGCTGGATTATTACGATAAGTGATTTACCATTGTTTATAATTAAGTGCAGCTTCCATAGTTATAGTATTCTTCACCTTAAAAGTTACAATGTAAAATGAACTCATCTTTCCAGAAATAATCCGATAAACAGTTACTAATAAAACCGCTAAAACTGAAGCAACAATCTGTTTAAAGCAGCTACTTCCTATCAGCTGGGCTATTCTTACGGAGCTGGGGCATAATACGCCCAATAGGACCATAAACACCAGTATTTTCCCCATTGATAATAATAATAAAACTTATAATAATATTATATAATTACATAATATTATATAACCCAGCACGCGGTGTCCGGGTGTTTCCCACACACGCCGGCGCCTTTTCACATGGCCCAAACGAGCAGCGTCGTAGCGAAATTTCAACCCCCCGATGCGCTCCGAGACCACCAGACACGACAACACGCTGGACCAGTGGACTGACCCATCATTACAACCACGGGTGGTTAATTGAAGGTCATTGAGTGCAAGCAGTGGGAAGACGATGTCCGATATCATCAAGGTGTATCTGAACACCTCGCAGATCGTGCTGAACGATACGTTCAACGATATCATTGCTACGTTTGAAGAGCTGACTGTGCCTTCACGGTTGAGGTTTATGTATGGGGTTTCCTTCTCCGTGGTGGTTTCAATCGTGGCTGTGTTGGCGTCGATTGCCTTCACACGTCGCGTGTCGAAGCAGAGATCGTCTGAATCGGCCGTGAAGTTCTCGCTGGAGATCCCCGATGAGGCCAAGCAGCATTGGAAGGGCAAGCGTATGGACCCTGTGTCGTTGAAGAGCGTCGACGAGCCTGAGTACATCCAGAGTTACTGTCCAGCCACGGGACAGTACCTGGGCAAGTACAAGTCCAACAGCAGAGAGGAGATCGATGCAATTGTGGAGAGGGCGTCCCAGGCCCAGGCCAGCTGGGCAGACTCTTCATTCGCACAGCGTCGCAAGGTGTTGAGATCTCTCAGTGAATACATCTTGAACAACCAGGAGAACATTGCCCGCGTTGCTTGCCGTGATAGCGGGAAGACCATGGTGGATGCTTCCATGGGAGAGATCTTGGTGACGTTGGAAAAGCTCAATTGGATCATCAAGCACGGTGAAGATGCCCTCAAGCCTTCAAAGAGACCAGGGCCTTCGAATCTACTCATGTCTTATAAAGGCGCAGAAGTTCGTTACGAGCCATTGGGTGTCATTGCCGCATTGGTGTCATGGAATTATCCATTCCATAACATGCTGGGGCCTATAATCGCCTCTCTGTTCACAGGCAATGCCATTGTCGTTAAATGTTCAGAGCAAGTCGTGTGGTCTTCGCAGTTCTTCATCCGTCTGGTACAGACTTGCCTTGAAGCATGTGGATTCAACAGAGACCTGGTCCAATTGGTGTGTACATGGCCAGAAGATGCTGATTACTTCACATCGCACAGTGGCTTGTCCCATATCACCTTTATTGGCTCAAGACCTGTGGCTCATCATGTCTGCAGAGCTGCTGCTGAGTCTTTGACACCTGTTGTTGTTGAGCTTGGGGGTAAGGATGCCTTTATTGTGCTGGACGACGTTAAGGACTTGGATGCAATTGCGTCAATAGTGATGCGTGGAACTTTCCAGTCAGCTGGCCAGAACTGTATTGGTATTGAACGTGTCATCGTCACGAAGAAGAACTATGACAAGCTTGTTTCCATCCTACAAAGACGTGTGCCTCAGCTGAGACTCGGCTCAGATATCGACCAATTGGAGGATATTGATATGGGTGCCACGATCAGTGGTGCTCGATTTGACACTTTAACACGTCAAATCAACGACGCAGTCCGTGATGGTGCACGTCTACTCCACGGTGGTGGTAAGTACCAGCATCCAAACTATCCACAGGGCCACTATTTCACACCGACCTTACTCGTCGACCTTACCACCGAGATGGAGATTGCCCAGGAAGAGGTATTTGGGCCTATCTTGACAGTGTTCAGAGCCGAAGATACAGATGATGCCATTCGTATTGCCAATTCCACAGAGTATGGGCTTGGAGGCTCAGTGTTTGGGTCGAACTGGGAACAGCTGAACAGAGTTGCCAATTCGTTGAAGTCAGGAAACGTTGCGATCAACGACTTTGCCACGTTCTACGTCTGTCAATTGCCATTCGGTGGACAACGAGGCTCAGGCTATGGTAAATTCGGAGGTGAAGAGGGCCTACAGGGCCTGTGCAATCTGAAGGCCGTTTGCTACGACAAGATTCCATTTGTATCCACCCAGATACCAAAGCCTCTGGACTATCCTATCCAGGATGAGTCTAAAGCCTGGGGATTCGTCAAAGCCTTGAACATCGCAGGCTACGACGGCAGCATATGGAACAAGGTGAAGGCCATTGGAACATTGGCAAAGAACGCCAAATGAACTGTACAACAAGAAGCAACATTACAAACAAGCCATGTGCGTTTTAATTGAACGAGGAGGAAAACAGAACTATATAAATAAGGCCAAATCAGTTCGAAACACTCTTTTCAGCTGCTTTGAACTGGGTCTGTAGCTCATCGAGATACTTCTTGTAGATCTTTTCCACGTCTTGCAACACCTTCTTCACCTTGTCGTTCTTCTTTTCAAAGCCTTTCAATTGCTTTAGAGCATGCTGTCTAGCAGAGCCCAGCGAGTGCTTCGAAGGACTCTGCTTGAAGTGTTCAAAGTCCCTCTTCAAGGCTGCGAGGATTTCACTTCTCGTCTCTGCTGTTGGTGGTGGAAGCGCAACCTTCAGCTGCTGAGGGAAGTTTGGCACCTGCTGAGGATTCATGTTGAGACCAGAACCCAGCACCGACGACACAACGTGCTTGACATTGTTAGGGTCAAACACCGTGATGATGAGGTTACGGCCTTTCAAAGAGGTCTGGGCCACTGACGTGAACGGATACACCTCTTTATGGGCCACGGGAACCTCCAGCTTATCAAAGATGTTGGCGTTCGCTGTGCCTTGCTTCGTCTCGTTGACCCTCTTCTTGAACACCTCAATGGACTCCTTCAAGCTCGCCTCCAAGGGCTTCAGCACAGCACCAGGGTCCTCCTCCTGTGTCTCCTGAGCTGCTGCTTCCTGGTGGTGTGACTTCGCGTCCTGCTTACCTCCCTTCTTGGCCTTCTTCAACACAGCAAAGCCTGTTGAGAAGGGTCTAGCTGGGTGTCCAGCTGGGTGTCCTGAGCTACACAATGGGAGTCTAAGCAATGGGAGCCTAACCACTGGGATTCTAAGCATCTTTGGCCTCTGATTGAAGTCTACGTGGACTGTCAAAGGTGACAAGTTTCAACGAGCCCCGGGGTTTTTTCCACTGTTCTCGAGAAGTGAAAAATTTGTCCGAGATGAGCTCATCGCAGCTTTGACACATATACTGGAGACATAATTGTATAGCTTTTATATATAGGAGTTCTGGCACAAGAGGCCATGGAGGAGGGCAATTACTGCGAGATCTGTCTTGAGAATGAAGCAAAGTACCGGTGTCCGCAGTGTGGCAGGCGTACGTGCTCTGTAGCGTGTGTCAGAGCCCATAAGGAGCAATCGCAGTGCTCAGGAACAGTGGATAACACGAGCTTCGTGAAGAGGTCGGAGTTCTTGGAGAACTCACACCTCATACAGAGGGACTACAACTTCCTGACGAACCTGGACAGGGCTCTGAGTGTCAAGAGACAGGATTCGAGGCAGAACAGGGCACTCAAGAGACAGAGAACCAACGGGAATGCACAGGGAAATCATCAGCAGGTCCAGATGAAGCGTGGTGTGCGAGTGAAGTATCTACCAAAGGGCATGCAAAGGTCGAACCAGAATAAGTCGTCATGGGACAAGAAGAAGGAGACCTATGTCTGGACGGTGGAGTTTCAGCTGGTGGATGGAGCCACGGGCGAGGTGACGGATACTTTCCAGAGCCTAAGGGTTCCGGAGGAGACTCATATTGAGGGCTGTATACATTTCAAACTGAAGGAGAAGACCAATGGCTCGTCGCTGTGGTGTTTCTTCAAGCTTGTTGACCGTCCAGCGTCCAAGCCTGCGTTGAAAAGGCTCTCAATGGACAAGACATTGGCAGATGAGCTGAGAGGTGAGACTGTCATTGAGTTCCCAACATTGGTTGTGTCTACACAGGAAACAGTCAAAGGGTATAAGGTGGTAGGGGAGCACGAGGACGATTCTGAGAAACTGGAAGATTCCAGCGAGGACAGCGAGGACAGTGAGGGCTCGAGCTCGGAGGAGAGCTCAGAGGAGAGCTCAGAGGAGAGCTCAGAGGAGAGCTCAGAGGAGAGCTCAGACGAAGAACAACCCGAGGAGGAGTCGTCCAGGCCTACAGAAGGTGTCCACATCAACACAGCTGAGAATACAGATGGTTCTAAAGACAAAGAACAACCCGAGGAGGAGTCGTCCAGGCCTACAGAGCCTGTCAATATCGACAGCTGAGAACATACATGCTTCTAAAGACAAACAACATTCGTAATTAACAATGAGAAATACAATAATTAAACATACAAGCATAGAGACAGCAATCTAACCAAGATAGGACCAGAACTTCTCCCACAGGTTCTTTGGAGGCTCCTCTTCCCAGACGATGGCATCGATCTCACGTCTATCAGTGTCGATATCCACTTCATCGAGAGAAAGCATCAACGGGCCTCTGAACCAAAAGAATTGGAAGAAGATGTACAATGCGACGAACAAGATGACGGAGATGTACGCGGTGAAGAAGCTGTCCACGCTGAATGAGATGACGAATGCCTCGTAACCGTTGATAATGATGATCAGGAGGATGAAGAAGGCAGCGTAGTAGGCTCCCCATGGCATGAAACGGGCCTTAAACGGCAGGTCGTCACGAGACATGCCTCTATGCTTCAACGTCTGCATGAATCTGATATGGGAGACTGAGATGAAGAGCCATGCAAACAGTCCGGCAACTGCTGTGATGTTCAACAACCAGTTAAACACCGTGTTGGCACCGTTCGAAACCACCATGAACCCAAGGAATCCAAAGAGCGAGGAGAATATCACAGAGACGAATGGCACACCTTGTCTTGTCGTATAGGTGAACCATTTTGGAGCCAATTTGGTCACTGCCAAAGAGTAAAGGATACGAGATGCAACATAGACGTTGGAGTTACCAGCAGATATAATGGTGAGCAGAATAACAGCGTTGAAGATGTCTGGGAGGATCTTTGTTCCCGAGTTGATGATTGCAATGATGAAAGGTGAAGATGCGGTGTAGGAGTCATCAGATGACAACAATGGGTCGTTATATGGAACCAATAGGCCAATGAAGAACAAGGAGAGGATATAAAACACAAGGATTCTAACGAAGACGGTGTTGATGGCTTTTGGAACAGACTTTCTCGGGTTTTTGGACTCACCAGCAGCAATACCTGTCAATTCAGTACCTTGGAAAGTGAAGGCAGCGTTGATAAGAGAGGAAACCCAGCCTAGGAAACGTCCCTTCGCAGTGTTGGCGAACAAGTAACCTGGGCCCCAGGCTCCAGGGTGTCTCCAGTATCTGAAGCCAACTGGGCCTGTGACACCAGCTCCACACACCATGATGAAACTGTAGAGGATGAACCCGACAATGGCAATCACCTTTATGGCAGCTACCCAAAATTCAACTTCACCGTAGAACTTGACAGGAACCATATTGGAACACGTGAGCACCACCCAGAAAATGGCAATCCACGCTGCTAACGGCACTGCACTTGTCCAATAGTCAATGACTTGTCCCACGACACTCAATTCCACTGCAAAGGTCAAGACCCACGAGAACCAGTACATGTAGCCCACAGAGACACCCAAGGCTGGCGAACAGAACCTGGTCGTGAAGACCGTGAACGAGGACGTGACCGGGATGAACGTGGCCATCTCACCTAACGACTGTGTCACGGAGTAGGCCAAGGTGGCCATGAACAGGTACGCAATCAACGAGCCCACTGGGCCTGCGATGGAGAGCGGAGTACCAATACCGATGAACAAACCAGTACCAATGGTACCACCTAGCGCAATCATCGTGACGTGACGAGGCTTCAGCGCCCTCTTGACGCTGGTCTCCTGGACATCGCCCTCGTTGTTCTCGTGGTCCGACACCGAGTTAGTCTGGTCGTTGGTCTTGATCGTGGTCACGGGCTTGGTCTCGATGTCCATGTCCGTCATCTCATGCGACGAGACATATTGCCCTGTGGAGGAGCTTGTGGAGTTAACCATGTCGGCTAGTCTGGTGTAATTGTGCTTACTTCTTGCGGACGGAGGGCAGTAAGATGAAGATGACGAGGCAAACATGATTCTACGACTGAGGGCAATTCATCTCACTTTTATACGGGCTGTCTACAATGGTGATGTAAATCAGTACGGTGAAAAAAAGGTTGCATGAACATGAGACGTCCTCCAAAAATTTTTCACGCAGTTCGCTTCTGATAAGACAGCCATTATGTCCAATGGTTTAACCCAGTTAATCCGTTGATTGTGTCCATTGAAACACGGAATTTTCGATAACAGCTTATCGCTGCCACCTGTATGATGTGAGCGGAACAATTGGGCGAGATAAGCAGGTGTTGTAGGTGTAGGCCGTGTCGTGTGGACGAGCTCGTTAACAACAGTACTTAACGGAACCATGGTGAAACGTTGGTGAGCTGAGCGTGCGACGGGGCCAGAGTTTGCACGGTGCTTGCTCGTCAGTGCCTGCACTTAGGGGAACAGGTTGGATGATGTCTTGTGCGTTGTGTCCTCGTGCGTTGTGTCCTCGTGCGTGCCTGGGCATTTCATTTCTTTTCGCCATGCGTAGGTTCCCTGCTTTCTTTTCCCACGATGAGTCGGTGTTTAGCACACCGTCTGAGCGTGGTCCTGGGGCATTGTCATTGCCATTGTCATTGTTGTGGTGATTGGTGTAAGCATGGTCTGCTGAGCACCCGGACCATGGCGTCAACACCGTTCGCAGAGCTCATCAATTGAGCACGCTACTTCAGCTATACCTTTCCCGTATTCCATGGCGTGCAGTGTGTGAGCAAACGGCATCGCCAGGGTTTCCAGGGCAACGTCCAAAGGGCTCCAAGCGCAAAACCAAGCGGCGACACCTGCGGCGACACCTGCGTTGGGACGGAAAAATAGCACCGGCGTTTGAGGACGAGGGCAGCCAATGGGGGAGGGCCAGTGAGCGAAGGCCACGGGAGTTGGACGAGCGAAGGGAAGAGAGCCCCCGACGGGGAAGGTGAGCTGTTCCACTCCGCACCGGTTCATCCGGACACCCTTAGCATCATAGTGACAGGGTTCCTGTTAATATGACGTTCTTCATCCAATGAATTGGGCACGATGGCTGCGGTGGAATCTTCCGAAAATCGGCACGATGTTGACGAAAAAAGGAATAAGAAAGCGAAAAAAAAGGAATAAGAAAGCGAAAAAAAAGGAATAAGAAAGCGAAAAAAAAGCGAAAAAAAAGGAATAAGAAAGCGAAAAAAAAGCGAAAAAAAAAGGAACAAGAAAGCGAAAAAAAAAGCCAGAAAAAATACCAGAAAAAATGCCAGAAAAAGGCGAAAGAAAAAACGCACAAAAGGCGAAAATGGCTAGAAAACGCCACCAAATAAAACACTATTTCTTTTTATTTCCCGTTAAGGTAATTATGTGTCACTCCTCCCAGGCATGAAGAGCGCAAACGAAAACGAAAAAGCCGCATATGACCACTTTTAACGGCGGTGCATATGACGCATGGCATCTTTCCTCAACGGCTCTTTCCCTCGATGATGTCTCTCGTGGAGGCCATGCCATAACAAATGCCTACAAGATGACCACAATTAGTCATTGGATGTCTATGAAGCACACGCTGGAACCAAGGTCGTCACATAGATAAGCGACTCCGTAGTGGAAAAAGAAACCAACAACCCTGTTCCGGTGGAGGCCCCGTTAAAGGTGCCATCATCTCTTAGCAAAGTCAGCAAGTTCTGTGCATGTTAGCGCATTCAAAGTATGGACGAGGGACGGAGAGGGTGGTGGTACTATTAATTCCCATATAAACACCCAGTGATATCATGACGAGCCGGCCTATGGCTGAATAATTGAAAAAAGCTTCCAAGTTTAGAAAACTTTCCTCTCTTTCTTCATCCCAAATAAGTCAGGCCATATAGCATGTCTAGAAGGATGAAGGCCACCAAGTCAAAGGAATCCTCGCTGGAGGTTAAATCGTGGGATGCCGATATCGAGGCCCACGCAACGTCAACGTCAACAAATGCCAAAGATGAGATCGTCCAACATGACGTTGAAGACGGTAACGTTAAGGAAACTCATGTCAAGAGAGCCCTGAAGCCTCGTCACATCTCCATGATTGCCCTGGGTGGTACTATAGGGACAGGTTTGTTCATCAATTTGGGAGAGCCCATCTCCCTTGCAGGGCCTGTTGGTGCACTGATTGCCTACTTGTTCATGGGCTCGCTGGTGTACTTTGTCACACAGTCTTTGGGTGAAATGGCAACGTTCATCCCGGTGACGTCGTCGTTCACAGTGTTCAACGCGAGATTCTTGAGTCCTTCGCTGGGAGTGGCCAATGGTTACATGTACTGGTTTAACTGGGCAACCACGTTTGCCGTGGAGTTGAGTGTTGTTGGCCAAGTCATCGATTACTGGACAGAGTCCGTCCCACTAGCAGTTTGGATAACTATCTTTTGGATCATCATCACCGTCATAAACTTCTTCCCCGTCAAGTTCTACGGTGAGATTGAATTCTGGGTGGCTTCTATAAAAGTCATCGCCATTATTGGATTCAACCTATATGCTCTAGTTATAGTGTGTGGTGGCTCCTCCCAGGGCCCAATCGGCTTCAGATACTGGAGAAACCCTGGTGCCTGGGGTCCAGGCTCTTTTTACCCGGGAACAGGCAAGGGCCGTTTCCTAGGCTGGGTTTCCTCACTCATCAACGCTGCATTCACTTACCAAGGTACTGAGCTCGTTGGTATTTCTGCTGGTGAGGCAAAGAACCCAAGAAGAGCAGTGCCAAAGGCCATCAACAAGGTGTTCTTCAGAATCCTGCTCTTTTACATCCTATCCTTGTTCTTTGTGGGAATGTTGGTGCCATATAACGACCCAAGAATCAGCAGCTCAACATCCTTCATCTCATCATCACCTTTCATCATTGCTATCCAAAATGCAAACACCAAGGTGCTTCCACACATCTTCAACGCTGTCATTCTAATGACCGTTATCTCTGCAGCCAACTCAAACGTTTACGTGGGCTCGAGAATCCTGTATGGACTGGCTGTTGCTAAGAACGCACCAAGAATCTTCACCTTCTGTACAAAGCAAGGTGTTCCTTACTATGGAGTCATTGCAACCTCAATTATGGGTGCTTTGGCGTACTTGACATGTGCTGAAACAGCATCACAAGGTTTCACATGGCTGCTGAACATTTGCACAGTGGCTGGTCTGTTTGCCTGGGTCTCCATCTCTCTATGCCATATAAGATTCATGCAAACGTTGAAACATAGAGGGATGTCCCGTGATGAACTACCATTCAAAGCACACTTCATGCCATGGGGTGCTTACTACGCTGCTTTCTTCGTCACTCTGATCATCATATTCCAAGGTTATGGTGTATTCTTCGACTTCACGGCTTCAGACTTCCTAGCCTCCTACATCTCCGTGTTCATCATGATTGCCATATGGATTGTGTGTCAGATTGTCATCAAGGGTCCTCTTCTCTTGTCATTGGACGAGGTTGATATAGATACGGATAGACGTGAGATTGATGCTATTGTTTGGGAAGAAGAGGAACCAAAGAACCTTTGGGAGAAAATGTGGTTATACCTGGCTTGAAGGACATTGCATGATTTAGCCTTGTAACAGTATGTACTTTTATGAATATAATGACTCTTTGAAACGGTTTTGATGGTATATATGTAACCAGTGTAGGCTTACAAGGTGGCTTAAGGTATCTTAAGGTTACTAAAAATATTGTTCATTCAACTGAATCCTCTTTTTACAGGAGCATAATAATGCCTTTTCATTTCTCATTCATCTCCTTGTCTTCCGCTTCCTTCGTATCCTCTTTTTCAATCTCTTCGCCTTGGTTAGCTTCTTCAGCTTCTTCTGTTACCTCTTCATATCCGTCTGTCTTAATTTCATCTGTGTGGGCATCCTCAACCTCCGGTTGAGGTTCCTGGTCAACAGTGGAGTCAACTGATTCCTTCGCATCTTCAAAAAGGTCATCCGAAGAGCCCTTCAAAGAATCATTTATCACGTCGCCGTCAGATGCCAAACCTGTTTGACGTCTCTTGAGTCTTTGCTGTTGCCGCAGCCATTGAACGCTCATGGGTCTCTCGGGAGTTCCTCCAGGAGTTGCACCGTCACGTAGTTCTTGTAACAGATTACGTGCTCTTGCACCAACATCGGCTTCTTCTTCAGTACCAGAGTTGATAGAAGCAACGGAAGCAGTATCAATGACACTCATTGAGCCAGATTTTGATGGTGTTCTTGTAACATCACCATCGCTCAGCTCGTCATCATCATCTTCATCGCCAAACGGATTCTTTTTGAGATCCATCAAATGCTTACGAGCCTGCGCACGTTTTCTAGCACTGTTGGAGTTACCCTTAGCTGGTCCGACCGCTTTCAATTTCTCTAACAAAGCATCCATAACGTTTTCACCACGATCAGCACCATCTGCGACTTCCGTAGATGACTCAGACTTCGAAGTTTCTAAAAGCTTCTTGCGTTGTTCGTAGATACGTTCTTCCTCTTCACGTTTCAGATTCTCACGACGAACCTTCTTATAGTCATTGGTGAAGTCAACAAACTTGCGAAAGAACGAGTTCTTTGCGAAAACATCATTAGGATCCTCACCGAAAAACCTCATCAATTTTTCAAACTCAGTCATGGTCAATTTTAACTGGTCTAGCAATTGATCAGATTTTCTCTTCGCCTCTGGCAAAACGGGTAGAACCTTGTTCAACACCCTGTCATTTGGATGGAATTTTGTCGAGTCACTCAAGTTTCCAACGTCGATGGATGCTTCAACATTCTTGATGTTTGATGTGAATGCTCTGGAATCAGTGTTCAACTGCTCAACAGATAGTTTCACAACACTGGCAGCTTTATCTAGCTCCTCGACAAACTTTTCATCTTCTGGAAAGGCATTCCGTATTATCTTTTCAACGTAATGCAAGAATGTGATACTGTTCTTATCATCCTTCATAAATGTCAATCTTTGAAGTGTACTCAATTTAAATCCCTGTGCCTTCTTTGCATTGTCGTTCATATAATTACCAACAGCCAAGATAACATCAAAAACTTTACGCAAGTGCTGGGAGTTTTGAATACTCTCTGTAGCATCATCAATAGCTCTTAACTTATGGACTAAATCAGAGTATTCCTTTTCATATGTTGAAATGACTCTCAAAGCTCTCATTCTTGAAGACCAATATTCCTGTAGGTTGAAAAACAACTCCAAATAGATCCGATCCGATCTATCCAATTCATTAGGATCCTTATCAGGGAACTGCTCAGAACCTCTGGTCCAAATAGTTCTATAAGGCTCCAGGTTTCTGGTCATATTGTGTGGAATTTCACACAATTCTTGTTTACCCAAAAATTCAATGACGTTCACATTCTCTAAAAGGGAACGATCACATCTCAAGATCTTGTTGATCAACTGCTCATCAGACAACGAAGAAAAAGAATGTAAATTAATTTGAATTTGTTGTGAGACATCCTTAGACAAGAAAGTGATCTTTGCAGCCTCACCAGGTTTTCTTTTAGTAATCTGCTTGATTTCCTTTGCAGGAAAGATCTTCTCCAACTCATCCAAGATACCTTTGTTTAGCAACTCTTCTGCAATGACCTTAGGACTTGCATTTTCCCAGAACGAGTTTTCTGTAACTTCAACTTTCTCCCAGTGTAACTGTTTCAATTTCTTTTTTGGTCTTGGGTAAGCTTCAAACAATGATGGTGATTGTGGAAGCAATGGACTGACTTGAGCACTATTAGATTTCATAGGTAAAGGTGGTGGTGGAGGTGGTGGCAGCGGTCCTGATCCAGACACTAGTGGTGGAGGTGGCGGAGGAGGAGGAGGTGGTGGTGGTACTGAACCAGACATCAGCGGTGGTGGTGGTGGTGGCGGAGGAGGAGGAGGTGATGGTCCAGATGTAGTGTCACCAGATTTACCAACAGAGAGGCCCAAGCCAACTGGAGGAAGAGGAGGAGGAGGAGGTGGTGGTGGTGGTGGAGGACTACCACCTGTGGTTTCGTCTTCCACAGCAAGTTGTATCGTAGAGTCAGCAGCCGACTCATTCTCCTTCTGTTCGGTAATTGACTCCTTCAAAACGGTCTTGTGAAGATCTGGAATAGGTTGCTGCTTGTTAACAGAAGATGATAGTTCTTGGAGGAAGGCCGCATCGAATCCTCTACTGTTTCTGACTTTATTAGCAACCGATGACCTATAGCTGAAGTCAGACTTCTCCACTTTCTTCTGTCCTCTGACGTATTTGGCTTCAAGATTCTCCAGGAATGATTTGGAAGGAAGTTTAGTAGTTTCTTCATCATCTTCACGATTGTTTAGCTCAGTTTGGAGCTTCTCACTCAATTTTTCAATCTCGTCCAGTTCAGCATGCAACTTATCGTCAGCATTTGGATCCAAAGACCGATATGTCTTATCGATATCTGGTGAGAATTGGATATCCAAATTTTGAAACCTCGTTTGAAGCTCTTTTAAACGATCCATGGCCATCAGCTTTTTTTTGTTCATCAGTTCCCTCTGCTTTTGGTTAACATCAAACTTCAAAATATCATTGGATTGGTCCTGCAAAGCCTCTAGTTTACGTTTCAAAGAAGAGAGTTTATCAAGATCCTCCTCCCTTGAATGTGTAGCAGTAGGCTGCGATGTATTTGTTGGTTTCTGAGGTGAATTGTCTGCTGTAGAAACCACAGATCTTTTCTTCTCCGTGAAATTTGTCATTTCAAGTTCTCTGGCCTGTTGCTCAATGTCTTCCATCTGATCTCTCAGGAGTCTTAGCCTGTTATTTGGTTCAACTGATGCACCAAATCTCTTGTTATCCATACGCAGTTTACTTTTGTTCTGTGATAACTGACCTTTCAATTTTGAAATCAACTCAGAGTTATCGGAATTTTTCGAAGTCGAACTGTTCAATAGCACCAACATCTCTCTCATCTCGAGCTCTTGTTCATGTTTTTCCAGCACACGTTTCCTCTTTATATCATTAAGCTCTTCAGATAAGGTTTCGTTTAGCTTCCTTTGTTTCATCATGACAATTTCCTGTTCTTCCAAATCGTTCTTGAGCTTTGTAATCATACCATCGGTACCTAATGCAATTTGTCTTGCCAATTCATCACGTTCTGCAACAGCCTCTTCAGCCCTTTTGTTTGCCTCTCTAGAATCCAGAATAGCACGTCTTGCGATTTCATCAGTTTGTAAACCATCGTATAACCTATGAATGGCAACATTCAAGGCCGCATCCTCATCTGTAGTGGCACCCATCGTGATATTAGAGATTAATCCATCAATTAATCTGAAGGATCTGACCGTTTCAGCACTATCAGCTGTCCGTGACGGATCTGATTGGTTCAAGAACAAATGTTGAATTGCTGAGATGAAGTAATGTTCGGCATCCGAGTGTTGTATCCTAGACCATATGTTTTTTACCAATGATACAGGATCATTTAAATCAACGTCTTTACCAATCCTTTCAGAGGTAAGTAATGCATCATAATCTTCAGCTGCGGCATCTTCAAATTCACGAATCTTATCGTCAACCAGTTCGTTTTGCAAACTGTGGAATTTCTTGAAAATCTTCTGAACACCTCCAGCTTTGAGTTGTGCCCTTGAATGAGTTCTTGCTTTGAAATCTGAACCACCTTCTGCAATTGTATTTATCAACACCATCGTAGATAATGCGTAATCAACCAATTGGGCTTCACCGTTAGACTTTAGTTCTTCACTTGCACCAACCATTGAACCCAATTTACCTCGACCATCCATGGTATGTTCTACAACCTTGAGCCATTGTTCAAACCTTTTCAACTGCTTATCCGTGTCTCCAATCGAGGAGTTTCTCTTATCTAGAGCCTTAACTTGGAAATGCACGTTTTCACCAGATATAGAATTCATAGCTTTAACCACTTGGTTATAACCTTCTGGAGGTTGATAGTGAGCCAAAAAACTGAGAATATCAGTGACCAGTTTCCTTGTGGCTAGCTTCGATGAGATCAGAGCACCTGCAATAGACGGTACTATAATCTTGGAGTCCAATGCATAAGTTGCACCGGATTCGCTGTTGATGATTGTCCTTAAACATCTAACGATGGAAATCTCCTTCTCCAAGAACTCCTCGTTCAAGAGGTCCGTTGTTGAACGTGTATGCAACTGTTGTAGGACATTTGCCAATGCGATCGGTCCCTGAGCAGCAACGAAATCCTTGACCCAGTCTACCGGTTCTGTTCTCAAGCTCACCCATAGGTTTCCTAGTTGTCTTGCGGAGATGGACTTATTCATTAGCAATCTAACGTATTGTTCCGGCGAGGTTAACGAATCACCTCCATTTTTCCTCGTCCGCTCTTGCTTCTTGTGTTCTGACAAGGCATCCTGATAGATCAACATCCATTTCTTCTGAGCAGGATAATCCTTCATCTGTTTCTTTGCAGCGTCTGGCAAGCTTTTGAAGTCACGCTTGGTCATCAATTCGTTAAACATCTCATCAATCTCCCATGGGTCCTTTGGCTGCTCCAAGACAAAATCATTAACGTGGTCATTGCCGCTTGTAGAGTTCCTACTATGCTGGTTGTGAGGATGATGGTGATGGTTCGAAGAACTGTTTGACAGCAGTGAAGTGTTGGTGGTGATTCTGTGCAGCACTGCGGACTTCTTGCCTCGTGCGGGTTCTTCAGACCCATTCCACTGCGATGAGCGACGTGAGCTATCAGTAGACGGGGTGGTCTCGTACCCACTTAAGTTTGCTGGGTTGATCATCGTGGACTTGTTCAACGACAGCGAAGAATGTGAATTTGAAGAGAACGTTGAGCTCATACTGGCCTGTCTCCTATCACGGACATGTGCCGGTAAACCTGCACCTGAAGCAGGGCCAGATTCTTCAATTGTAAAAGAGGAACGCGACACCTGTGGCTGTGGGTTCGAAATATGATAACCATTGACATTGGGTTGATGTGCAGCTTCATCAGGCACGGCCTTTGAAGCCTTGGTTGACAGCTTACGGAAGTTGGAGAGTATCGAGCTCGACTTTTGAGGCGATTGTGACGGTGTCTGGTCCGACCGCACAGATGATTGCCTCGTAGGATCCGTCTCTCTTCGCTTCATCCTGGAATTGCTCCCCTGCTCTGTCTCTTCACAGCTCCACGGCGAGAATAGCAGTGATGGTTGTACGTAGCGTAGCGCTCTGTGATTTCAGTCGATGTGGGTCGACACAGTGGAGCACAACAACAACAACAACAACACACGAGACACAAAGGGTGATCTGAAAGGATACAAAACACACCGTTCTCCCTTGTCTGTTGAAGCAGAGAATGGCGGCACCAAACAAATAAACAGCACTGGAACGCGGTGAAGATGGAGTTCGTGGAGAGAGCCAGACAGTGCTTCCAACCGGTGCCTATACCCGTTTTTTATCGCTGGGTTCCTTTGGCAGTTTACTTTTTCTCTTATTTTTGGGCTGGCTTTTGACAATGCTCAAAACGGGTAAAATCCCTTTCTGCGGAATGGATTTGGTACGGAAAGATCAGACGTTTTCAGCTGAGGGTAGCCCCCCCCCCAGCCCGCAGCCCAGCGTCAGCGTAGCGTGGCTTCAGCCCCAAAACAGTTGGGGCCTGGTGAACCTTACAGTTAAGCTCAGCCCAGTGCGAGCCAGGCCTGCCCAGGCTGCGCCAGCTCCAGCCGGGCTCCCCGTTCATGTCTTTTTCTCTCTCCCTCTGCCTAGCGCCGCCGCTGACGGTGTTGAGACATGGGAGAAAACCGCCGGCGTTGATCGGTCTGAGCCGAGGGTCCGAGGCTGGAGACGGTTTGGTTTGTCTTCCCACTGGGAATTCTCTCTTCCTAAATGCCCGGTTGACGATGGCGGTGGCCCGCGCGCTCTACACATTCTACGCACGCTAAGCACGCTAAGCACGCTACGTAGCCTACGCAGCCTACGCACGCGTACCAACGCCCTTCTACCCTAATCGCTCACACTCCTCCAACGGCTTCCCTGGACCCCCTCCGTGTACAATTTCGTCGCAATTCAATACACAGTTTAAACTTTATCCCCTGAGGCTTTGTTGTTTCAACATGAGAAGCAGATAATTACATAGCGACGAACGTAAGGGCAATGGTGTACGCGTCATAAAGTTGGACACAGGGCGCCTCATTCCCGTTGAGTTAAAAATCTACACACGACAGAGGACAAGAGAGAGCACAAACTTTGACTTTTGCAGCAGCGCAATCCTCAAGGGACACAAGGCGGGTCCTTCCAAAAAGCGAAAATACACACAAAGCGGTGGTGCATTTGTCTTTCAGAGCAGTGTAACTGGGACAAAGTGTCTTTTTTCGCTTTTTCAGTCTTTTTCGACCGCGCGCCTAGCACGATTTTCGTACAGCGCAAATTTCGTCCTGGGACAGAACAAAAGCGACAGAGCGCCAGAGAGCGCCCCCCAAAAAAACAACAACACAGCACAAGAACTTACTTTATCGGACACATTGTTTCCTCTTTCCTTTGCTTCATTGGAACCATCCTTGTGCAGACAGAACGGCAATAATCACCCGAGCGATGAATGAGGAGGAATCAAAGAGGGTGTCGTTGCAGGTCACGTCACTTTCAACGAAGCTTCTAGAGTCGATTGAGAAGCAGAACCAGCTAGAAGGCCAGATCGGCCAGTTGGAGAAGGAGAACTCTCAGTTCAAGGAGAAGAGCGAGTCGCTAAATAAGAAGTTGCAAGAGGTTCTGGTTGCCAGAAACCAGGCGGAGGATGAGGTCTCAAACTTGTCCAAGGAGGTTGAGGAGCTATCAAGCTCCTTGTTCGACGAGGCCAATAAGATGGTTAGTAACGCGAAGAGAGAGGCGCATGATTACCAGATGCGCAATAACAACTTGATCTCACAGCTCAAAGAGAAGGACCTCATGATGGAGACCTTGCAGAATCAACTCACACAGTTGAAAGATGTGTTGTTAGAGAGAGATTCTGCCGTGTCGACGACAGATAACTCATCTTCAAGTCTGACAAATCAACAGGGCGAACAAGAGCACCAGCAGCAGCCACCACAGCAACAGCAACAGCCCAAACAGGTGTTGTATTCACCAACGGTGAATGCTGTTAGATTCGACCTCAAACCGTTTAACGATTTTAAGATTTTCACCCGTTCTATAAAGAACAGTGAATCCATAAAGAACACCGAAACGAAGTTCTTCAAGCGACTATTGACAGATGACGTTGAGCCGGCGTTGAGGTTGGACAACGCCCCTGGCATTAGCTGGTTGAACAGGCGCTCGTTGATGTCATATCTCATCGATGGTCGCGTCTCCATCGAACCTGTGTCTGGGATTAACGAAACTTATAGAGTTAACTTCCAGCAGCACAAGATCAACGACACAGACGTCAAGTCAAGCCTATACGCATACCCACCTCACAGTCCTCCTGTGGCTATAAGCGAGCCATGTGCTGTATGTGGAGAAAAGAGGGACGACATCTTGGAACACTCTAGACTCTACGTGCTCAAAGTGCACGGTAGATCCGACTCTGCCTTGTCATCGCTGGGCAGTACGTCCCCAATGGCTTCAAACCAATACCCATTGTGCTCCTTCTGTTTGTTTAGAGTGAGATGTGCATGCGACTTATTTGCATTCTTGAGATCTCTAAAGACCGACGTCTGGGATCTCAGCGATGATGCCATCATGAAGAAATCGTGGATCGAGTTGTCACGTTTGAGGTCAAAGCTATTCTGGTCAAAGATTGGGATTTGGGACTTGGATGATAACCTCGTGACAACGAGAATCACTCCAAGCACGGGCGATAACGTCTACACAACCATGTCAAATACCGTTGAGTCTGCATGGAGAAACTCCATGTATTTCAACTCCTCAACGGAGTCGCTGGTTGAGAAGCCAAGTTATGAACCCTCATCCCCTTCGAACTACAAATCGTCGCCGTTGAAGGAGACAGAGACTGCTCCAGCACCGCAGAACCCTGTGAGCTTTATCCACAGCGATAGCACAGAGGAGACGGTGTTGAAAGAATCTACAGAGGACGGTGAGGAACCGTATAACGATATCTTGAACAACTACTCTGGGGACGAGACTGAAGCTGAAACCTCTCAAAGAATCGAGTCCCTCGGCGTGGAGGATGCTCAACCGCAGGACGACTCCAACGAACTCACCGAGGAGGATGCTCCTGACCAAGGCGAGCCCAATAACAACGGCGAGCCCAATAACAACGGCCACGCTAACGACTCTGCCAGTGATGTGTTTGTCGATGCCTAAGCGTCTTCCTCCTCCACCGTTTCCACCTAATCAAAAGAGTGTGTGGGGCCCACACACACATCCACACATCCACACAGACGAGAACTCAACCCTCCACTGTATACAGCTAATCCTATACCTTTGAAGCACGCCCATGCTGTAAACCATCGTAGCTTGCTCTTTGTTTCCACCAAACACTATGTGCTGTTGCCATAGTTACCACCCCAAAAAACCAAGCTTCCCCAAGCCCACAGCAGCAATGCCGTTACCCTACCTCTCGGAGAAACCCCGCCCAAAGCGGAAATATTCGCGGCATACCCGCCCGGTGCGGGCACGCACCGTGCCCTCCTCTCTAGGCGGCTTTACCAGCCTGGAGCTTCAATACAGAGAGACCAGGTTGTGTGTGCTTGTAAGGGAAGCCAGTGCTACGTTCAACACCCCATTTCCATCCCAAAGCAGTGCTGCCGTGTGTGTGTTACTGTGTGCTTTCCATCACAGAACTGTTACTTCGCACACTGATTACACTCCCTTGTTGAGGTGAATTGTGTCTCGTCCTACACCGTTGGCAAGCTTGATCTCAGCAGTATTAAGTGAGACCATCATCGTCAGGCTCACACAGAGAAAGCTACAAGCGCGTAGAGAAGGCTCTAGCGAAGGCTCCAGCGAAGCAGAGCACGGAAGGAAAGAGCTGGGCTCAAGATGACGACGCCCGTGACGCAGATCTACAAGAGAACAGAGGTTGTAGGCCGTGGTAAGTTTGGCATTGTATACAAAGGCATACACAGGGCCACAGGGCAGATCTTCGCCATCAAGGTGCTGAACTTGGACACGTCCGAGGATGAGGTGAAGGATGTGCAGCAGGAGATCCAGTTCCTGTCCCACCTGAAGCAGGTGCCGAACGTGACACGGTACTACGGGAGCTATCTGAACGGAACCAAGCTGTGGATCATCATGGACTACTGTGCCGGTGGCTCGCTACGTACGCTGCTGAAGCCTGGACGCATAGATGAGAGGTACATTGGAGTGATTGTGAGGGAGCTGCTAGTGGCTCTGCAGTACATCCACAGGCAGAATGTGATCCACAGGGACATCAAGGCTGCGAACGTGCTGATATCGAACGATGGACGAGTACAGCTGTGTGATTTTGGAGTCGCCGCACAGCTGTCGTCCACGAGTCTCAGGAGGAACACCATGGCGGGCACTCCCTACTGGATGGCTCCCGAGGTGATCATGGAAGGCACTTCGTACGACGTGAAGGCAGATATATGGTCTCTTGGTATAACGATCTACGAAATAGCCACAGGGAACCCACCGTACTGTGACAAAGAGGCCATCAGGGCGATGCAGCTCATCACCAAGTCCAAGCCTCCGAGACTGGAGGGAAAGCAACACTCGCAATTACTGAAGGAGATCATTGCCCTGTGCCTGGATGAGAATCCTGAGGAGAGGCTGAGCGCAGAGGAGCTCCTGAAGACCAAGTTCGTCAAGTTCCACAAGAACTCGTCAACTTCAATGCTCAAGGAGCTGATCTCCAGGTATTTGATCTGGAGAGAGAAGAAGACATCGAGGGAGAGCGTACTGATGAATGCGGAGGATGAGCAGGGAGAGAGCGAGATTGAGGTGAAATGGGACTTTGATTCTCTCAACAGCAACGAATACATCATAGAGAATGACATCAACGTCAGCAGCATCAACAACAACAACAACGTTGATGGTGGTAATGCACAGCAGGAGGACTACTTCAACCTGGATGGAGGCAAAGACTTTGACGATGGTGACGACGTTTTCTCCACGGGATACCCAGGGGCCATGAACAACAGTGCACACGTAACGCTGAACAATCGAACAGCGACAGGTGGAGGAAGTAACATCACCTACAGTAAGAATACAGTAACGTACAACACGAACATCGGGTCAACCTTCAAGGCAAACGGGACTCTGAATAAGGCTCCCAAATCCTTGCTTCATCTGTTTGAGGACCCTAATGAGGAAGATGACGGTGATGAAGATGCTACAGGCCATCAAGTGACAACTGCCACGGACATTTCACTTCCAAGGATTGCATCATCGATAGCAGTGCATTCCAACTCTACTAACACTGCCACTGCGTCGAACTCCAGGGTGACAACGCCAATTGTCGAGATTGAGATACCCACAATGGAGGATATCGAATGTATGCCATCTACTCAGCAGAAAGAAGAAGGAGCAAAGACAAGATCCAGGGCCAACACGCTTGTTCACACACAGTCGGCACCTGTTATCGAGACAAAGAGATCTTTGGACCCAGGATTGCAGAGAAGACCAACCTTGGTGAATTCTCTGAGTACACTTCCCCAGATTCCCCAGAGCCCTAATCAAAGTGCAGCTCAAAGACACACACCAAGTAGCTCTGGGCCTTCAGCTGGACCTGGCCATTCAGCTCCTCCTCCTATGATGAGAATGACACCTTCACCAAAGAGGGAAGTCGCAAGAGATGTGCTGGTATTCCCATCTCCGTCGAAGGGCAGTTTGGTTAACGGTTCACCATCGAAACCTAACCTTTCGATGAAGGCGATTGCTTCTCCAAATAATCCATCACCGTTATTGCAACCTCTGAACAGCATACAAACCTCATCAACAACGTCTTCCACAGCAGCTTCAGCAGCCCCCCCTGTTGCACAGAATGGAGCGAAACCACCAACGGTGGGCCTCAAACGTAACCATCAAAACTTACGCTTACAGATGCCAACACCGACTGGAGGCTCATTCCCAAGGTTGCTACACTCGAATTCGAATGCTGAAGAAGGAGGAGATGAAAATCTGAACCAGTTTGGAGTGAATGTATCAAACACTTCAAACGTTCCGATGGCTATGACGCCGCTAACTGAAAAGCCAACATTGACAACTTCAGGAGATCTTTATGGCTCTGCTGGTGGAAATATCTCAAAGAGACGACCAACCATCACTCAGCAACAACCACCTCTTCCAACTCAATTGCTACAACCTCAAGGACCACCTACGATGCCACTACTGGGCCAACGAACAAACTCCACGGTCAGCAGTTCGCAGAGCTCTGTTGATGGTGGATCTGTCAGTACAGTGGTTACTGATCCCAGAAATCCAATTGGCATGGATCTTGGAGTGTTTATGGACGTGGACGGTTCCAACGATAAGCTACAGAATGAGATGATCAAGATGCTCAATGGATTAAACACTGTTTTGGGTGATTTAGAAGAGAGGCTAATTGCTTTGAACGAATGATGATAGAACGGCTTAGACTTGCGGTTATTTGTACGAAAGAGAAAATAAGAATCATATGGTCATTTTATTGCAGTTGTAGTTGATTTGAACTCGGAGTCAATGACTGATACGTATAACCTTGTAAGTTCCCATTAGAAGGTGTTTGCATCTGTTGTGGCATTGCCAATTGCTGTTGATTCCCATTCTGCCAACCATAGTAAGACTTTGCCCTGAGGAATCCAAATACAAAATTACTGGTGAAGACCCAACCTGAGAGCAACAAACCAACCACGATGATGGCCTTGACACCAATAGGTTCGATCAACGAATTGACAATGATTCCCAAGGTCTCTGCGCTAACTGCAGCCTTATTGGCCAACGCTCTCGGATCACGATTCATACATCTTTCCCATTCTGTACACAGCTGCTCCAGTGCACTTACTCTAGTTTCCGGTGAACATTTGTTCTCCAGATAGGATCTTGTGCATCTCTGAACCTCTAAGGCAATCTCTGTGGCGTATTCTTCCATCTTGTTGTTGATATCGTTCTTTATCGTTGTTATGGCCATCAGCAGCACGTATATGACAACTGCTGATGTTAAAGCGTTGAACATGAGTTGCAAATAGGAAGAGATGATATATGGGGCTGGAGCCTTAGGGGAGGCAAACTTGGACCACGGAGCTGGCAACACAACCTCTTGACCTTCATTAGAGATTGAAGAGTCATCTCTTGAAGGCGATGGATAGTAATGGTGATGGTGCATTTGGAATTGTATCGGCTGTTGTCCCCATGGAGTCTGAACCATTGGCGTCTGATACTTTGTCGGCGAAGAGATCATCATGTCTCCGGCGCTGGAGTCTTCAAGAGAATCCGCTGATTCGTCAAATGTTGTGGTTTGTTCATCTGAGGAGTTCGTAACGTACTGCGATAGCTTTGACGCAGTCTTCGGTTTGTGAGCTCTATGTCTCAGGTTTGAGGACACTGACGCGGGGCTTCCCATGCTCGAAGCATCACTTATGTCACTAGTCGTAGAGTCCAGTACCGAATCATCAGATTCACACTGTTGCAGTTGTTCAGCCAAGTTCACTCTTCTCAGCACCGGGGACCCTTGCGTCGCCACTTGGGCACCAAGGGCTGTTGGTGAGAACATTAGAGACACCGACCTGGTTAAGCTGTTTACGCTTGTATCAGCGTCTTCCACGTTCACATCGAGGTCGAGATCAACATCACCATCGTCGTCCCCAGCACCTCGATCAGACTCATTCCGCAACGGCGACGAGACCCTGGGATGGTACAGGCTGCTCTTGAACCTCGAGCTCGTGGGCGTGGACATGAATGCCACGTCCTCCATCTCAACATCACCATCATCACCAGCTACTTCTTCAACCTCATCCTTTAGAGACAGCTCTGTGATGTTCTGCTCAAATGTACTTCGCAGTCGCTGCTGATCCGATCCCAGCGAGAGCTCCTTGCCACCAAATGCCATACTTTGTCACTGGAAAGCACCCACGATCCAGCCTTGTCGAACCACTTGGGCTCTGTTGTAAACACTGGCATTGAACAGTGGGTTTGTTTACAATGGTGGTTGATCCCACACCCGGACACCACATACATCGATACAAAAAAGTACGCTTACATAAGCAGAATATTACACACCCGAACACCATCACATTACATAAGCAGCGCGCCTCCCGCATCAGGAAAACTTCCTCTTTGGGCCGTTTCCCTCCCCGGGGAAAAAGAGGCTGGGCCCCACGAGCTCGCCTTGAATTCTTCCTCAGTGCCAGCTTTCCAACAACAACAACATCCTGTGCCGGTGTCAATTGCTTCAAACAGAGCACGTTCGTGTTGATTCAAGAGGAGAAGACCCAGCAGAGCAATGTCAGCACAGTCATCACAGTGAGTTAGACAAGATTTGTATTCTTTTTACATCTGTAGTAGGGCATTGGCTGTGTGTATCTCACACCGTGAGCCATGTGCTATCAGATGATAACACTGCATGGCGATTTCCCACTGACACGTCGTTGAAACATAGGTTCCAGCAGCTGGAGAAGCTCGGAGAGGGTACGTACGCCACGGTGTACAAGGGACGTAACCGTGCGACAGGTACGCTTGTTGCGCTGAAGGAGATTAACCTGGACTCCGAGGAAGGGACGCCGTCAACAGCAATCAGGGAGATCTCGCTGATGAAGGACCTGAAGCACCCAAACATCATCAACCTGTACGATGTCATCCATACTGAGAACAAGCTGACGCTTGTGTTTGAGTACCTCGATAGGGATCTGAAGAAGTACATGGATATCCACGGCAATAACGGTGCGCTAGAGCCCGCGGTGGTGAAGAGCTTTATGTACCAGTTGCTCAAGGGCATAGACTTCTGCCACCAGAACAGGGTGCTACATCGTGATCTCAAACCTCAGAATCTGTTGACGAATTCTAAGGGAGAGCTGAAGATTGGTGATTTCGGGTTGGCCAGGGCTTTTGGGATCCCGGTGAACACGTTCTCATCTGAGGTTGTGACGCTATGGTACCGTGCGCCGGATGTCCTGATGGGCTCCAGAAACTACTCCACCTCCATTGATATGTGGTCTGCCGGTTGCATACTGGCAGAGATGTTCATAGGACGTCCGTTATTCCCTGGTTCCTCGAACGAAGATCAGCTCATGAAGATCTTCAAAGTCATGGGCACTCCAAACGAACGTACATGGCCAGGGGTATCACGTCTACCAAACTATAGACCGAACTTTGACGTTTACATTCCTCAAGACCTACGCAGTATAATCCCTAATATCGATCCATTAGCTTTGAACCTGCTCAACGGACTCTTACAGATGAAACCAGAGAACAGAATCAGTGCTTCACAGGCGTTACAACACCCCTGGTTCCAGGAATACAACTTGCAAGGAGTTCCACAACAACAGCCTGATCTACAACATCAACAGCAGCAGCAGCAGACATACCCACAACATCCTCAGCAACAGCAGCAACAGTACTTTTGAAATTCCTCTCTATATAATGTATAATGGAGCCAAGGAGAAAAACAACATCATCAGTGGATCTTTAACAGTGATTCATAGTTGTCAATCCAAGAGTGTAGTGTTATACACCCATTTGGTGTATTAGATCAAGAACTAACCGTGCAAATTGTTTGATATGGCACCGATGATGCCATGACTAGGATTTGCACCTTTATCTGTTAAAAACTTGAGGAACTTGGTACGTTTCTTTTGACCTATCCATATCCACAAGTCATCATTGTTGATGAGATCAGCATCATCAGCTTTCATTTCCAACAACCACTCAACTGTTGCAAGATCGTCGTTTGCAAAGGCACTGATAACAGGCTCCACAGAGGTTATGGTGCCGGTTTCTGTACATTTCAGTATCCTTGATAACGTCTTCACGTCACAGTGTTCGCTTATAGCCATCGACATCACCTTGCCACTCACCTTAAACCTCATCCCTGTGTTGTACAGCGTCTCAGCCATTTCAATGTGGTTTTGAGAGAAGTGCGTATAGAACCTCTCTGGATAGTCCTCAAATTCTTCAGCAGAGGGTAAATCTTCGGTCTGAATGTCATCCATGGAAGACCTCTCCTCCGTCATTCGAGCCAACTCTCTGTTGATCTCGTCAGCATCGGCATTGTTCAAATAGAGCGTCTCTAGGAGCCTCTTGTTCAAACTGTCGTAATGGAGCATGAGCCTATTCTTTGACTCTGCAACGATGGAGCGCATCGGCAATACAATGTCAAAGTTGATCTCTTTGAGGACTTTGCTATTCACAAACTTGTACTGTAGACAGTCTCTATCAAGTGCAAATGCCGTCTTGTAGGCATCGGTTCGTACTTTGCAGTTGAGATCATACACAAAGGTTTTCAACATGGCCAGTCGTAGAGAATGTGATGGCCTTAAAGACCTGTTGATGGACTTACAAGTCAGTGGCAAGCTTGAAACACCAGAGAATACGAACACTTCCTGTAGAATCTCAACAGGGAGCCTTTCAAGGATCGAGCCTGTGGGCACCTCGACCGTGACACCCTGTGCTGGGGTTGTAGGACGTGATGAGGTAGCTGATGGGCATTCTGATGATGACGTTGAAGCTGCTCCGTCTTTCTTCTGCCGCTTAGACGGCCTACTGGTTGGCGTTCTGAGCCTTTTCTTGGACTTTGCTGGCCTCACGAATCCCATCCTCAGCGGTTCAAGAGAGATAGAGAAGGTATAATCCACCGTGTTTGGGTGATTTGCTCCTTTTTCTGTTGTGTTACTGTGTGGATACAGGCCTGGAGTGAAAAATTCCGATTGTAGTTCCGAGACCGTTCTACTATTATAATATGATGGCTCAACAGTACGAGTAAAACTCATTTACACTGTGAATTGGTTAGAACATGGCCATACCAAAGCCAACCTACACGGCACAGCTACAGAGGAGTGTAATTTGACACATTATTTCTTTCTCTTTCCCAAACTAAAACAAAAACCATTATATTTTAACATAATCGATTATTTTCATGCACACTTAGATGTTGGATGGGTACAAGAAGATTCTGACAGAGGCACCGAAGGTCTTAGCTGGCAAGTTGGACTTGAAGTTTGCTCTGACGGTACCAGAAGAACCGTGAGTTCTGGTGATCTTACCCCAGATGACTCTAATCTTGGAACCTCTAATCTCCTTAGAAGCTCTGTAGACGTAAGCAACACGCTTACCAAGGTAGAACTTGGCCTCCTCTGGAGTGGAGACACCCTCAATCTTAACCAAGGAGATGTTTGGGTTGGTAACAGACTTGGATCTTTGGTAAGAAACGTGTTTACCCTTCACGTACACTATAGCAGATGGTTGTTAGTATTTGTCGTCGGAGCTTTGAATCAACGCTAGGTGAAAATCATGGAGCGTGATGCTTAGAGAGGTTTAAGCATGAATGGAGTGGGTTGGATCGTCGAAGCCAGTTGTAGCGTCCACCAGTGTCATTGTTAAAATGCTTTCTAGTGTGTTATAGCAGTTGTAATGTGCATGCTTCGCTGTCTCTGCCCTCGTCGCCGTATTCATGAGTCCTGCTCCTTCCACTGGAAGTTCAATCCAGTGAGAGCTCCAGCTCATGGATACACGCGCCACCAATTACGTGACTTCTTACTGTTGCACTCAGCAGTATCCTCCTGCTCTGGGAACGTCGCACTGGTTTCACGTCCCCCCTTCAACTCATTCTGGCCCAACTGGTATACACATCTTCAACGCTATGAAATCAACAACCACCAGGGGGATGAAACTCCCGTCCATTAGCGAAAAACCTCTCTCATCACATCCATTCCTATCACCTTCAAGCAGTACATACATCTGTGGGATTCGGCCATTGTTACTTCTTGTCTATGTGTTGATAGTATAAAGAGATGGCGTTGTACACTCTGTGAAGAGTTTGTGTTGAAGTTGATGAAAAAGAGTCGGTGCCTCCTCCACGCACGGTTGGCGGCTGCGGGCCGTAACAATATTCCCTTAACTATGGGGGATGTGCGGGTGTTTCACCTTTTTGCAGCGTGCTGGGGAGAATTTTCGTGTGGCGTGTAGCAATTTTGCACACCCGGACATTTTCGGTGAAAATTTTTTGGGAAGTGTGACTTGCGGAAAAAGAACGGCGACAGGGCACGGAGCCCTGCTCCAGTGCACATGACTCTGGCGCTGTGCAGCCCTAAGACGAAAAGCCCTAACAAAAATTCATGCAGGCGGAAAAGTTTTTTTTAGCGAGCGCGCACGACCCGCCGTGGAGGGACAGCGGCTCCCAAAAACTATAAAAGGCCACTGGATTCCACTTTCTTTTCTAACATTTTAATCCCTTTTTCTTTTCTTTGTCGACGTACTTCAGTATGTGTTTGCCCTATAAGCTTGCTCCATTCGAGTGAAGAAGCTCTGTCCGTGAAGCAGGTTTACTAACGCCCTCCGCAGTAGGATCATTTCTATAGTTTACGTCCCTCTTTGACTCTTCTAAAGAGCCACTGAATCCAACTTGGTTGATGAGCTGCAGCCTTTGTGCCCTAGAGTGAGACTAGTATTTAGCTTGTCCATAACACTAGCTGTTTGGTCATCTATTTCTGTTTTGCCTTTTTTCTTACGACTTGGCTCTGAAGTCCTCCTTATCCACCCCTGGGTGGTTGGGAGTTGTTCTCTGACTTGTTTTAAAAAGGAGCGATGATCTCTACCCTGTGTGCTACTCTTCCTTCGGGATGGTGCCATATGGGTGGGCGCAAATGGCAATCTGACAAGTCACCCCCCTCTTTTTAAATGAACATGAGTGAAGTTTCACTCTGTGGTTTAAAATTGTGATATTCAAAGTTATGTTGTGCAGAGTTGTATGCAGTTACTGTGCACATCTACAGTGTAAAGTGTTGAGCTAAGTTATGGAGTATGTTCCCGCAAAGTTGTACACGTTGGATTAATATCAAACAGACTAGAACTTGCACAGTCTCCAACCGACACATGCGTGTCGGCAGACGATGTAACTCATTATCGCTAGCCCTAACAGGGCGACGGAGAACCCAATGAAGTTGTTGTAGTTTCTCTGTGCGCCTTCGCCAATCACCGTACCTGCGATGGGGATCAGTGTGAGCATGGTGAAGGAGGAGATGAGGTACATTGTTGAGTAACGCTTTCCAAACTCTTCAGTCCGAGAGATTTGTCCACAGCACACCGGTGACAGCGATAGAATCGACCCAGAGAAGAAGCCATACAAACCGGAAAATGCGTAAAGGACTTTCAGGCTCTTTCCGAACGGTAGCCATAGCACTAACGATATAAGAGCACACATGGACACCGTTAAAATCACAACGTTGAATCTGCCCAAACGATCTGCTGCGATACCTGGAATGTATCTTCCCAGGATAGCACATGTGTTCGACACAATGATGAGCAGAAACGAAGTCTGTTCAGAGTTCCCTTGCATAATGGCATACGAAGGGAGATAGATCAGAACAACAACCAGTGAGCCTTCTGCGAATGCAACGCCAATTGCACACGACATAAACTTCAACTCAGATAAGGACTTATAGTCGAAGGCATCGACAAAGTACACCTTAAAGAAGCCCTTCCAAGAGTCGATCTTGGAATTGTCTTCACGATGGAGCCTCTCCTTTGTGAAGATGAGAGCCAGAACAAGGCAGCATGCACAGAACAAGGTCAATGCTCTCAATGCCCATATGAATCCCACTGTGCCGTACATCTTTCTGAGCATCAATGGCATGATGATGCCTCCGAGGGATCCCCCGGTTGTAGCAATGCTTGTGGCTGTGGCACGCTTCTTGTAGAAGAAGTGTGAGACCGCACCAACCAAAGGAGACATAAGCATCCCTGTACCGAAGCCAACAAGTACACCAAATGCCAGGATGAACTGGTACACTCTGGTACAGTTAGCGGTTGCTAGCATTCCGCCGCAGAACGTGATTGAACCTATGAGCATTGGCTTGAACGCGCCAGATCTGTCGAAGAACGTTCCCGAGAAGATACAGGATGAGAACGCAATGAAGGTATATATGGAGAAGATCCAGGAAACAGTTGACGTTGAAACATCTCTCAACTGGTGATTTGAGACGTACGCCTCTATGGCACCAACTGAGTTGACCATTCCAAAGGCAGGTATCAATCCCATGAACGAACCAAACACTGTTAGATAAGCCAATGAGCCACCTTCAGGGAAGTCCAGATGGCTCTCATCAATGACAATGGTCTCATCATCACGATCAGAGCCAAGTGCATGTTCTCTGATCCCATTTGAAGACGTCGTGCCAGCCTGCTCATGTGCCGTGGTGATAGCCTCCAGCTCCAGTGAGAAGCCTGTGGCTGCAGTGGACTTGAAGGCCTTCGTGCTCTCCCTCCAGACGGCTTTCTTCACCTCAGTCAACATAATTGTTCCAGCAGATCTCAATGAAATCACTCTTTCAGTCGTGGACAAGAGACTCGGGGAATGTTTCCATGCCGGCGTATATATATCGCCAAAGAGCTATCACCGCTGCCGGTCTGTGAGTCATTTGCTGTACGAGCTTGCGCTGGTGAAGCGCAGGCCTCAAGCGCAGGTTCTGTAAACAGGAATCGCCCCGCCTAAGTCCGTCCGTCCTTCAGCGCCACCGTCCTTTGGAGCCAACGCTCTTCGTGGCGATGGCTGTGGTGTGGGAAGGCTCCCATAAATCGACTGAGGACTCGTTACCAGCTCAGGCTGTGCTAGCTGAGCTTGTAGACAATGACAGCAAGATGGTTCTTAAAGCAAGATGGTTCTTAAAGCAAGATGGTTCTTAAAGCAATATGATGTGGGAAATATGAGATAAGAGGGTTACTTCACAACAACTTGAAAGAGACGAAGCACAATGGTTCAAAGAGTGCCTTTAAAGCCTCTGTCGAGAACTCGAATCTTGACAATTCGATGAATCCAGCAATAAACCCGAAACTGTGATCCAAAAGTCGAGTATAACACCAGCTGAGATGGCACTCAAGTGTAGTCATCTCATCCAAGCCGTTTCCAACTACAAATCCAGCCAAAGCAAAACTCATGAATATATAAATTAGTAAGATCCTATAAGGGCTATTCTAATTACAACTTGGACTTGTCGTCCTTGAATTGGTCCTCAGTGACACCCTTACCCATGGCAGCAGTGGAGGTGACACCACCAGTGACCAACTTCAGCAAGTTGTCAATGTACTCGGCACCAGACCACTTCTGGTGCTTGACAACCTCAACACCGTTCTCGATTTCCGGAGCTTGGATCTGTTGGCCGTAGGCTCTCATACCAATCTTAGCGTAGTCACGGGCAAAGTTGTCCACAGCCAAAGCAGTGGTGTGCAAACCAGCCAAGGTGATGAATTGCCAGACGTATCCGAGCTTAGCCAACTTTTGGATGTAGGTCTCCTGGTCAGCGACAGACATGGCCTTGTTCCAGTTGAAAGATGGGGACAAGTTGTAAGACAACCATTGTTCTGGCCATTGGGCCTTGACACCATCGGCAAACTCCTTAGCCTGGGCGTAGTCTGGCAACTTGGACTCCATCCAGATGATATCAGCGTATGGAGCGTAAGCACGGGCTCTGTTAACAGCACATTGGGTACCACCTTGGTAACGGTAGTAACCTTCTCTGACTCTTGGTGCCTCCCAGTCGAAGAAGATGTCCTTGCCAGTAAGCTTCTTAGCCAAAGCACGGGCCTCCTTGTTGGAGGTGTTGGAGAGTGGGTGAACCTTGGAGGTGAACTCGGCAATCAAGGCCTGCTTGTTTGGGTAGTAACCAGAGTTGATCTCATCAATGACAGCCTCGTGGAAGAGCTTGAGGCCAGCCTTCTTGGTCCAGTCCTCCTCAACGGCAGCCAAGGCATCACCTTGCAAACCTCTTTGCTCGGCTTGGAACATAACCTCGGACAATGGTTGCAAGTTCTTGTTGGTGGAACCGACAATGAAGTAGTGGTCTCTGTGGTCGATAGTGGAGGTCAACAATGTAGCAGCCTCGGAGTCAGTTCTGGCAACACAGAGCAAGTCGGAGCCAAAGATATCAGCAGCGGTTCTGATGGCAACCAATCTGTTGATGTGCTCCTGGATTGGCACCAAAACCTTACCAGCCATGTGACCACACTTCTTGGTACCTGGAGCTTGATCCTCAATGTGGATACCAGCGGCACCACGCTCGATGAAAAGCTTTGTAAGCTTGATGATGGCGGTGATACCACCGTGACCAGTGTCGGCATCAGCAATGATTGGGCGGAGGAAGTCGGTGTATGGGGTCTTGGCTCTCTCCTCTGGGGTCATACGGAAACGCTCCTCGTGTTGCTTTCTGTCGTGGAACAGCTGAGCAAACCACAAGTGCTCACACTTGTTCGGCACGGTGTCGTATGGGTAGTCAGCCAAATCTGGAGATGGCTCGTTGGAGGTGGAGGCGGTGGAGGATGATTGCCATCCAGAGATGTACACGGTGTCCAAGTACTTGGCCATCTGCGTAACGTGGATTGGGTCCAAGGCTCCAAAGGTGAAGGAGGCCGTCTTGTTACGGTCGTGCTCCTCCAACAGCTTGTACAACTTCTTAGCCTGGTCGGAGGATGGGTAGTGGATCTGGAGGGTACCTCTCTTCTGGACAATGTCCTTAGCGGTGTAGATACGCTTGGTCTTTCTCCATCTTGGTTCCTTCCACCATTGCTCCACGGCGGCAACCTCTCTGTCGAAGGCTTCTTGTTCAGCTTTAATGTCGATTGGCGTGTATGGCATGCTTGAATGTATTGGCAAGTGTTTACTCGAGTACTGAAGCTACAAAACAACAACCACGGCCAGGGTGTGGAAAGTGGGAATGCTGCCAACTTTATATACATTTCATCCTGGACTCTCGCCCTGTGTGGATACCCTACAATGACACACAACCACTACACACGATCATTGTTCCCGGCAGGCCGAACGCTGCTCAAAGTTTGCTTGCACTTGTCCTTGCCATTTTGGCTCGCACTCGCTGTTGCTTGTGGTTTGACGTAATGCGAAAAACAAACTTTGCCGGAAGCAGCTCCACGAACTACGGGGCACAAAAAGAAAGAAAAACACTCACAGGAGGCATTTGCCCATTGCGCCGGTTCACCGGGCACAGGGAGCACGCCAACTCTGGTGGACGTTCGTACTGTGATGGGTTTGAAAATGGCACTGGTGTGGTTTACGCCGAGCACGTCCGTGCTACGGAGAGTGCTGTGGACTGTTGGTGTGTGGATTGTCCGGAACATTGGCGTTTGAAGGGAAGTTGATGGAGTTCATTTCGGAGCGTATCGTAGTGCTACCACCCTGTGCCCCCCAGTCTTCTCGCCATGCATAAAGAGAGACGATTGGCATTTGGGCCAGGGAAGGGGGATGTGATTGGTTATACAGGAAAAACAGGAGAGTCTGGGGGACGTGGCAGAGTGAGCGAGTGAGCTAGTGGAGGGCTGTATAGCTGTGGGACGTAACGTGCACTTGTTCAAGGACATGCCACCCACCGCTTGCCCCAGATTTTCGTTAGGTTTCATGCAGCAAATTTTTTTTCGTCATCTTGTTCCCCGGTAGTGCCGCTACCGAATCACTTTACCCCAGATTTCCCGACAAAGTTCGTGGAGGTGACGTTAGCCCGAAGATGACTCAACAGCGATGGGAGGAGCTCCAGCCCCTTGCCACTCTTGGAGGCCTGGTGGTGAGCTAGGGGGCAACGGGATGGTTGTTTCGTGACGTGACGATACGTAGGCTGAAGAGGCTCGCTCATCCATGGCGGTGCAGTCTTGAGCTGGTCGAGTTCAACACCAGAGATGGCGCTGGAGCTGTGGTGACGCCGTCACCAACGTCCTCAAAAGCAGTGATCAAACATGCCATTCTGAAGTGTCTTGGTACGCTTTAGACTCCACACCTCACATGATTCCCGTGAGATGGTACATAAACTACGGCCCAAAGTTTCAACCTCCTGTTCCCTCGCTCTGTGAACTTTGATCTACGCCCTGTGTGCCTGTTTCCCCAGACATGTCGCTATCGGAAGCTTGGGGAAAAGGAGTGGTTGGGAAACTTTATCTCCATATCATGCAAAGCAGAGGGTTGCACTAACTGCTTTACCCGTCACTGCATCACCCGATATCGGATAACATTGAGAGGTAGCCCGCAGGTGTAGGCCGTTCCCTCAATTCCATAGCGTCCGTGGAAATCAGAGTCGCCCCTGTGGTCAACCAGGAGCACCTGCTCGCGTGGATGTGTTCTCTACGCTCATGTTGGCCATGGAAGCAGTTACACGATGGTGCTCTACCAGCCCGTAGACGGTGCGGACAGACTCGGGGCTCCTTCCCAGCCGGCGGAGAACAGCGCCTATAAATCCACACACGCCCAACTGGTTTCACTGGAAAAGGACTAACCGTAAAACCCCGGCACGAAATTGTTACTGAGACGCGCACTCTACACTGATGCTACCAGAATCGAAGTATAAGAAGCACTCTCTACAACCGTCGGTGGTCCTCGCGTACAACCAAGCAAGCGAATCACACAATCCGTGGCCTGCAATCTCTCACTGGCCGTACTTTGTAAACGGTAGGCTGAAGTCTGCGTCTAGAAGAACGGATATATATAGCTGTCCTTACTTCGCACACACACGTTTACGCCAGTGCTTCACCAACCGAGTTTCCACAGTGAAGCCACGCAGATAAAACTCCAGGACGACGATCCACCACCCCCAGAAAACACTTCACGTTCCAACGCCGCCAATTGATCTGCCCTCCTTCTCTGTTGGACGCTTTCTGTAGTTGCTCCAGCTCAAGCAGACAATGGGGATGTACCCCCACGCACTTTTAGCCCCCAGTGAAAATTTTACCACTACGGAGAAAACAACGCGAAACCGCCCAAAGGGGAAATCTTTGTCGCGCTGGTAGGGCCTTTGGTCTACGAAGCTGAGTCAACCCCACGCTTTTTTCACCCGCATACCGCTAGAATCAACACTTACTGTCACAATCGAGCTAGAGCATTTTGAAGCGCAGACGTTGGCGGAGAGCCCTTTCCCTCCTCCCACTTGCGAGTTGTGTGTTTTCTCGTGATCGCTACTTTGATCTGAAGTTATCAAATCCTCGCTGTCTGGCGTCAATTGTGAGGGAGAAGGAAGATTCCACTCGTTAGGCGTCACCTGGTGGGATTAGCAGCAGTGATTACAAGCACGACATGTCTGGAGTAACGAGATCGATACGAAACCAGCTCAACTTCCATGACGAGAAGAAGTGGAAGCAGTTCAGCACCAGAAGACTGGAGCTGATCGACCGGTTCAGCCTGAGCTCGAAGAAGGCATCGGAACAGGACGAGGCCATATCTCAGATAGCTGCCTTACTGAGAGACGAGTTTGGCTTCCCCGAGCACACTCTTCCAGAGTTCGATAGGCTAGTTAGGGCTGCGATCCAAAGCGTACGGCGTAATAGGAAAAGATCGTCAAAGGCCCGTCCTCCAGGCACGCTCAAGTTCTTACACCATGACGACAGCTCGAGTAGCATGTCGTCCTCGTTGCAGAATCCACAGTCACAGTCGCTGTTCCAACACCAACACCAACATCACAGCCGTCCTGCTCAGCAGCTACAACAACAGCAGCAACTACACAGCTCACTTCCACACCTGAAACCGCATATCGATTATGGGATGGGATATCTACCAAATACAACAACGACATCCACCGCATCTTCTGCATCACCAAGCCTGGGGAACTCTCCGTCCCAGACACATCTGCCTTCGATACGAATGCTAACCGAAGGCACTTCATCGTCATCTGCTGCCGGTGCCTCCAATATTACCCAACAACCTGTACAAACGAACAATATTGGTTCAGCAGCTGGCGCAGCAAATGCCCATAGAATTCCGATCAAACTGCCGTTACCGTACCCTCCAACAGATATCACCATGAGCAGCCAGACGTTGTTGAACTACATACACAAGTCCAAATCTTGTCTCTCTCTATCAAACAACGATACAACGTTACACGAGGATAACCTGTTCCATTTAGGCATGTCAATAATAACCGCATCGTCGTGCTTTATACTGGAGAGATACTTCAACGACTTGCCTACAGAATCCGTCAACTACCTGAGTGAAAAGTTGCAATCCACTGCTAATCTGGCGAAAACTGTGAAAGCTTTAGGATTCTTTTCATCTGATGTTATGGTCTTATCTGATGTACAGGCCACTTCTCTCCTGGCAAAGTTGATAGGGTGTTGTGTCAAGGATTTTGGATTCGATCCAATCACTTACACTCTTTCAGAGATATTTCATGAAGTCGTGCTGAACGAATACCCATTGATTGCCACACAGGTCAACAAGATTACTGCGGAGTCGTTATACACACCTTTGATGCCCATCAAGCCGAAAGAGGCCGACGTGGAGGTTTCCAAAGAGGTCAAACTGCAATACGGCCATCGTGTGTTGGACTTCAAATACGCACCATTGAGCTCTGCGCCTCCTACTTACTTGGAGCTGCTGGAAAATGGTAGAGTTGCATTTGGTATACAGGATCTCAAGAGCCTGAGATTGAGATACGAAGGACAGGATATTTCAGAGGATGCTTTGGACAAACTGTTCAAAGATTTAGAGAGAAGAAAGATCGTCCTCGAGCTATACGAGCCACAGACTATCAAGTTCACGCCATTGCTCTAGTCTACAAGTAGTATATCAGTATTGCTGTTGTTGCTTCTGCATCACCATCTTCTTGTTCAATTTAATAGACAGTGGGAACACGAAGCTGTTCATTTCAAACTTAGGCTTTCAATGAGTCTTCTGGCCTCATTCTCATATCGTTTATCATCATGTACTGTGGGCTCAGATTGCTCTGTCTTCACTATATTCGATTCCTTCTTGATCACAGTGGTTGTATCCATAACAACCGGGACCTTTCTCTCAGGAATGGCATCCTCAGGTTCGTTGCTTTGGATGTCATTTGAATGGTGCTCCTCGTTATTATCCTCCTCATTGGAGGTATCGTCTGGCTGCACCATTGGCGTCGTTGTAAGCTGTGCACGAGGTTTCTTTGCATATTTATCACACCGTACCGTTATCTGACGTCCTTCGAATACTGCACCATTTAAATCGTTCACGGCTCTATCTGCGTCCTCTTCTGTTTCATAGGTTGCCAATGCAAACCCTCGTGAATTTCCATGGGCATCTTTGACTATCTCGACACGCCCGATGTTACCTGCTTGGCGAAGAAAGTCCTTCAAAGCCATCCATTCAGTATCATAGGGTATATTCCCAATGAATAGCCTTCTAGGGTCCTGGACGGTGTCTGTTCCAATGTCAGTGATGGAATGGTACGGGTACTGATGAAGGTTCATCAGATGCCTTGCAGAGACCGGTGTTCGTCTCTGCTCTGGATGTTGTATGCCCCCGTATGAAGCTTTTGGCGTGGATTGGCCACTAACGCTTCCAGCAGTGGATGTATCTGAATATGTCCCCGTATACATAGACATGGCACGCGGTGAGAAGAGCGGCACTGGTCCTGGCGGCTCGTAGTACGAGTTCATGTAGTAATAACCATACGGCGGGTTAGCACCTTGTGCCATAGGCGATTCCGTACTGGGGGAGGTATTAGGCATGTTCAGCCCATGGACAGGGGGAACTGTTGCAGTGCCTGGTGGCATCTGATAGCCTACTTGGCCCACCATTGGGGACCGCACTGCCAGTGACGGGTGTCCCATTGGAGGTATCATCGCTGGCATTTGGCCCATCATCTGCGGGATTGGTCCCATAGGGTAGACCTCGCTCGGCGATAGTGATAGCGGCGTCCTCTGCTGCTGGTACTGCTGATTCTTCTGCTGATATTGGTATTGTTGCCGCTGTTGTTGCTGTTGTTGCCGCTGCTGTTGCTCCTGTTGCCGCTGCTGTTGCCGTTGCTGTTGCAACTGTGCTTGCGTAGGCGCTGGTGGGTGCCCTTGCACCGGAGGATGTTGATGCGCAGACGGCGGCAGCGCACTAACGCTGGGGCCGGTAACGTGCTGCAAACTCGGCGCGACCATGTGCGGTGACGGGCGGTAGCTCAGCAGCTCTGGCGATGGGTGGAAATACTGCGGAACGAAAAGCGCACTCTGCTCAAGCATTGGAGGAGGAGGTGGTGACAGTGGCGGATTGGTCGTCAGGATGTATCCGTTCCAGAAGAAGCCGTCCAGTTGCTCCAACAACGTCTCAGCGCACTGCGCCGAGTTGAGCGAGACACACGCAGTGCTCGTGTCGTCGAAGATCTGGATGTGTAGCACTGAGCTCTCTGGGACAAATGGGGTTAGGATTCCCTTGACATCGCGCCAACGGACGCCAGGGGGGATGTTGTAGACGTAGATGTTATGGATCTTGGGCTTCTGAGGCTGGTGCTGCTCGACGTCCGCGGTCTTAACAAGGCCAATGGCACTGGCGGGTGGAGACCCTGTGCTCGGCGTTGGCATTGGTGAGGGCTCCTTGCCGGCCTTGTTTATTTGTGATGAAAATAGCGACAAAAAAGATACACGCACAATCTCGTTAGTGAGAAGGGGGGTGGTCAGAAATCAGTACGCCCTGTTATTGCTATCTCCCGCTCAATTGATGTCTGCTCAACAAGGACAATACACACCACCCAAACAGACTCCCTATGGAGGGTTTTGGCCAGATTGAAGGAAGAGTAATTGCTTCGATTACAGAGAGAATTAATCCTCAAGGCAAACAAGGCAGTCCAGACGGAGAAAGGTCCCGATCGAATTCGAATTCCCGTACCTTGCGCAAATGATTGAAGGCAGTGCTCACAACACTGAATTTACCAGTGAACGGAAAAGGCAATTGAACTGGGCTCCCAACACCCTTCAGCTGTATGGTGCTCTCCTCTATCGCAGAGACAAGGAGTGAAGAAGAGAAATACGCTGAGCCGGGTGGTTTTCTCCAAATCGAGAGGGCCTGGCTTAAGAGGGAAAAATGGTGCAACTGATTACGTGCACTAATTTTGGCCCCCCAGCACCGTTTTATCTGAGGGCAACGCGCTTGCATAACAAGGCGCACAAACCGATACCCGTGCTGTACGTCAAGAAACTCTACGGAGGGCCTGGTGCTGGTGGGTTAATTGATCATTGGAGTGCTTTGCCTGAGCCCTTTGAAAGGCCATGTTGGGAGGCGAGTGTCCCGTCTCTCTACCGTGCGATGTGTAATGCTACTGTGCACAATTGCATCGATAGTCCATGCGTGTGTGTCGTGGTTTCCCCCGACTCCTTTCCAACACCCACTTACCATTGATGTGGTCAATGTCCAAGCAAATCCGTGCTATAAAGTTATGGCTGAGAGCGTAGCTTGGTCTATGAGATTGCGCAATTTCCATTCCACTTAGGGGGGGAGGAGGAGGAGGACTGGGAAGACTGGATAGATGCATCCTGAACATGCCATGTGCCTTCCGCTCTAACAGGATGTAAAGTAGATGTAAATACCGGGATCATACAACAGACCCTTTGAGAACGCTGGATTTGGACGTGCAACATGTACATCGCCTAGACGGTGTGCTTCCCTCTGGGGGTGCTTTGAGGCTTTGAACTGGCGAACTTTGTCAATGCATCCCATAGGCCAAGAGAGAAATGTGCTGTAAGCCGAAGCACAGCTTTTGAAAGGTGTTGTTGCTTTTACTCCGTCAATGTGGGCCTTTTACGACGTATGTATAATAATATATTACACTGTAGATCCTAGGAATTATCAACATCCATCCCCTCTGTTTTCCATGCACATGCTGGATCCGCCATGCGATCACCTTCTACCTCTGTTTCTGTGTCTGTTTCTGTGTCTGTTGAACTTGGCTCTTCTTTCGTTGTTTTCAGGGTCAAGGCCTTGTTTTGAAGCAAGGCCAAGCTCTTGAGCAAGCGAAGTGCCAGCCTCCACACCGAACTTTTCGATACGGGCAATGTCCCTCTTGACATTTTGAACATCCTCCTCAGAACCAAACTTTTTGGCTCTAAACAGTTTCTTGTTCAAAAGTTCCAATGCGGCAGTCTTACGTTCTTCAGGTGATAAGATCTTCACTGCCGGTTCCTTCTCTTCCTCCTTAGTCTCTTCGCTTTCCTGGTTGTTGGCATCGTCGACCGAACCTGATGGCTCTGCACCAGCAGTGGTGGTACCCTCCGCCACGGTCTCATTGGCAGGTAAGGCTTCGACATCGCCGTTGTTCTCCGCTGTGGTGGCAGTTGCAGGCTCCTCTGCGGTGGTTGGCTCAGTAGTTGGCTCAGCAGTTGGTCCAGCGGCCTGTTGCTCGCTGTCGAATGTTTCCAATCTACTAACGAGCTCAGCTTTGACACCTGTGGTTGAGAGACCACGGGACTTCAACAGCTCTCTCAGCTGGGGGACCGTTTGTGATGAGTATGACATGATGTGCTTAGCTGCAGTATGTGTGTTTTGCGTGGTTTTGAAACCGTCTTTTATCCAATGGTGCGTATAACAAGCCAGTATCACGATCTCCTGAAATCCTTCTGTAGAACAAGACTGAAAGCACAGAATAGTAACGCCGATCTATAGACCTCCTCGATATTCCGTGTGCGTGTATGTGTGAGTTGACGTGATCTCGGCCTTTCTCTTTGTCCGTATGATCAACAAATAACACGCTCTATCTCAATTGCCCTTCCAAACGTCGGAGGTGTTGTTAAAGAACACGCGCCTTTATGTGTTTTCTTTTGCCCAACACATGGGATTCCACGAACACCCCTCCCCCCCCCCGTCGAAAGCTCCCTCGAGACCGCAAAACAGCGAGAAGAGAAAACAATTTTTGCTGCTCCTACCGGGTTTCGCAAGAGGTCGAGCCCCGGTTACGAGCCCGCCCGACGGTATCAACCAGACACAGCGTCAACAGGGTAACCCTTGCGTCGTATCGGAGAATGGGCAAGCGGCCTGGTTTCCTGGTGGCGAAAAGCGCACTTCTACTATGTGTGTGTTGGATTTGTAGTACCTGAGGTGTCCACGTAGGCACTTTGTCTTATGGATTAAAGCAATTGGATTGGCTCCCAAGTCTACTGGTTTGTACTCACAATCTTCTCTGTTTTTGTTTTGATTTCCCGTTTTGTGTTTTTCACCGTTCTGAACTTGTGACGCACAAAGAAAAACACCACCACCGCGCACGCGCCCACACAGTCTGCGCCCCTTAGACGTTAGTGGCCATGCAAAAGTGGGCAGAAATCCACCCGCCGTGCAAAGCAAAAACACACACACAAAAACATCAACAGATCAGAATTTCAAAGCTACAGACGACTACAAAAAAACACACAAATTTCGCAAACAAGGGAACACCGCCTCTCCATCTGATTCAGAAGAAACAGAGGCTGCTTGAGGAAAAGGCTTGATATATTTTCTTGTTTTTTTAACTCTGTTGAACTTGGCAGTCAACCATCGTCAGCTGATTTGGAAATCGTATCAAAAGGTTCAATTGGTTTACAGGTATTTTGGCCTGTCTGTTACTGTCTTTCTATCACTTTTTGTGTGTGTGTGTTTACGTCCCTCAAATTTGTATTGCCGCTGAACGATATCATAAACAATGGCGGATAACGTTAGCGAGGAGATCAAGAACAAGATCCTCAGAGAGAGGAACATCATAACGGGTGCCACCAACATGAAGAAGAAGACAAACAACGCAGCAGTGATCCAGAAGTGCAACTCCAATATCCAGGAGGCGCAGCAGAACATCGAGTACTTGTCGAGGTTATTGGATCAACTGGACGTCAGGAACGGAGCGGTACCTGAGACCAACTATGCCAGGTTGGACTTGATCAAGTACGACTGTCCTTCTTTGGGCCAGAAGATCCAGTTCATGATCAATCAGCTTGACACCAAGTTGAAGGTTGAACAGAAGTACTCCGAGGCGAACGAGAAGTTGTCCAAGATTTACCAAATGGACGGTGATCGCAGGATCAGTTCCGTGGCTGAGGATGGTAGGGTCCAGAGTAACCACAAGATTCAACTCTTGAAGAAAGCGCTCAAGAAGTACGAAGACATCCATGTGAATTTGGATCAGATTACGTCACCTCAGCAGGACCCGATAGACAACGCCACTTTCAGAAGAAAGCCACTAACCGGTACGTTGACGATTGGAATCAACTCAATAAGGGAGGTTGATCATATCGCGTCTCCGCTGTTTTCGAGAAAGACCGAGTCGTTCATCTCTATCAAGGTTGATGATGAGGAGAAAGCCAAGACCAAAGGGAGCCGCAGCGACAAATGGAACGAGGAATTCAGCATTCATGTTGACAAGGCCAATGAGGTTGAAATCACGGTGTTTGATAAGATCAATGGATCTTTTGTCCCTGTGGCAATTGCATGGTTTCTCATCTCCGACGTTGCGGAAGAGATTCGTAAGAAGAAAGTTGGACAAACTGGTGGTGCAGGCTGGGTAAGTGCTGCTCGAATCCAAAGTGGAAGCCAAGTGCCTGGCCAAAATACAACAGACAATTTCACTGTGAATAATAGCACCACCATGGTGGTCAACAATAATGGGTCATCCTCGTACAACGGAACCAATAATAAGCCCTTGCCAGCCCAAATCGAATCGAAAGAGCCTATCAAATCGAGTAATTGGTTTGTGTTGGAGCCTTCTGGGCAGATTTTGTTGACCCTTGGCTTCACGAAATCTAACGCTGCGAACAAGAGAACAATACTTGGAGGTTTGCACCGTCACGGTGCTATTAGAAAGAAAGATGAGGAAGTATTTGAACAGCATGGACATCAATTCATCCAGAAGCAGTTCTATAACATCATGCGTTGTGCTCTTTGTGGTGACTTCCTTCCTTATAATGGTTACCAATGTCAGGATTGTAAGTTCTTGTGTCACAAGAGATGCTATGAGAAGGTTATCACCAAGTGTATCTCCAAGTCTAGTACCGATATTGATCCAGATGAGCTGAAGTTGAACCATCGTATTCCACACAGATTTTACAACGTGTCCAACAAGGGTACCAACTGGTGCTGTCACTGTGGTTATCTATTACCTTGGGGTAGAAAGAACGTTCTCAAATGTAAAGAGTGTGATACTATGTGTCACGTTGAATGTTCTCATCTTGTTCCAGATTTTTGCGGTATGTCCATGGAGACTGCTAACGAGATTTTGATGACAATTAAATCTACACAATCTTCAAGAAAGCAGAAGATCCAAAACTATCAAGATCGTCAGTCGTCCTCTGCTTCAACTGTGGTTGCTTCAAACCATAGTGAAAGTACCAAACCAAAATCAGATGGTACAAAGGTGTCCAGTGGTGTTTCTGCTTCCATTCCAGAGTACAAGACCTTGGAACCAGAACCACTGCCAACACAACATCACCGTCAAAGACGTCCACCTCCTCAAGATCTTTATGTCGGACAGGCACCATTGTCAAAGCAACAATCCACTGGATCCCAAACTAATTCATCCTCTGAAGGTGGTTATTCTCAATCCTCTGAACCGAACTACACAACACATGATCCGTATGCTCAAAAGTATACCCAAAGCTACACTGCTGATTTAGAAGAACAAAAGACTAATGAAGAGCCTGGTAGTAATTTATATGTCAATGATCGTCAATACGAAATCGAGCAAAGACGAATTGCTTATGAGCAGCAACAGCAACAACTGAAATATCAAGAGGTACTACGCAAGCAACAGGAAGAGCAGGAGCAACTGCTGGCCAAGCAGCAACAGGAACAAGAACAGTCAAAAGAAGTGCAGAACCAAGCACAAGATGCAGACGTTTCCTTCCAAGCTGATGAGACAAACGAAGATATTCGCAGAAGATCCCAAATTCAAACGGTGGAACCAGTACAAACACATCGTCATTCGGAGAAACGTCATCGTCCAAAGGTTGGACTTGACGATTTCCACTTCATTGCTGTGTTGGGTAGGGGTAATTTTGGTAAAGTTATGCTTGGTCGTTCCCATCGTACTAAAAAGCTGTGTGCTGTTAAGATTTTGAAGAAGGATATGATTATAGAGAATAGTGAAATCTCATCCATGCAGGCTGAAAAGGAAGTTTTCTTAATTGCCAATAGGGAACAACATCCATTCTTGATCAACTTGCACTGTTGTTTCCAAACCGCTAACCGTATCTACTTCGTTATGGAGTACGTGTCAGGTGGTGATTTAATGTGGCACGTTCAACAAGGTAACTTTTCTATGAGAAGGGCAAAGTTCTATGCAGCTGAAGTCGTTTTGGCATTGGAATACTTGCACGAAAATGGTATCGTATACCGTGATTTGAAATTGGATAACATTTTGTTGAGCACTGATGGTCATATCAAGATTGCAGACTACGGTTTATGTAAACCGAATATGTGGTATGGAAAGACAACTAACACTTTCTGTGGTACGCCAGAGTTCATGGCACCAGAGATCTTGAAGGAACAAAACTACACCAGAAGTGTTGATTGGTGGGCGTTCGGTGTCTTGCTTTACCAAATGCTCCTGGGAAAATCGCCATTCAGAGGTGACGACGAAGATGAAGTTTTCAATGCCATTTTAACTGATGAACCTTTATTCCCAATTCAAATGGCCAGTGAGGCTGTTGGTCTTCTCGAGTCGTTGTTGGACAAGAACCCTCAAAGTCGTCTTGGAGCTGGACCAAGAGATGCCAAAGAGATCAAAGAACATCCATACTTCAAGAATATTAACTTTGATGATATTTTGAACTTGAGAGTTCCACCTCCATATATTCCAGAGGTAAAATCCGAAGAAGATGTGTCTTTCTTTGACAAGGACTTTACAACTGAGGTTCCAAGATTGACACCGGTGAACTCTGTGTTGGACACCGCGAGCCAAGCTCAGTTCCGTGGTTTCTCTTACGTTAATGACGCTTCTGGTCTATGATCAATATTGAAGAACAAAGAGTCAAAAGCTCATGCATGGTCTGGAATTATTTGTACGCTTCTACTTCGTTTTTTATACTAATATAAGATTGTCCTTTGATGTCTATAATCGCTATACATCTTTCAGAACTAAGTGTGTATCGCTGTCGGTTGTAGGGTATGAATATTGTATTGTAACGAAAGAACAAAGTTGGTGTATGTATTAGTTGCGTATTACCCTACTGTATGCTTTCCCTAGCTCACTGAGTGCAATCTGTTTCAACACCAACGGCTTCAGAAAATGACTTCGTGGCCAAGTTGGTTAAGGCGCACGACTGTTAATCGTGAGATCGTCAGTTCAATCCTGACCGAGGTCGTTTTTTTTTGGAGGCGGTCTTTTTTTTTTGGGCTTAGGGGCTTTGTGTTTGAAGTGGTACTATCACTCTTGCTCGCCGTTTGATTATAGATCAAATAGACCATAAAGATCTACAATGTGTAATTGATGAGCACGATTAGGCCTCTTCAATACTCAT